CGGCCGAGAGGGACGCGCTGGCGGCGGCGCCCGCTGCCGCTGTGGCAGCAGGCCGTCGCCGGCGCCTCGGCCGGCATCTCGTACAACTTTCTCTTCTTCCCCGCCGACACGATCAAGTCGCGGCTGCAGACCATGGCCATTGGCGCGTCGGTCAAGGAGCGGACGTTCTGGAAGGAGGGCGCCCTCCTGTGGCGGCAGTATGGCCTCGCGGGGCTGTACCGGGGCTGCGGCATGACGTGCTTGAGGTCGGCGCCCAGCTCGGCGTTTATCTTCATGGTGTTTGACGGACTCAAGAGGCACTTTCCCATTCAGTAGAGGGTGCATAGAAAAAAAACAGTTGGAACGAGGGAGGGGTTGGTTGCGCGGAGGATGGGGCACGGCGATTCTTTATGGCATTAGCAGGCGTTTTCCGGGAAGGGGGTTCCGATGGATTTTTTTTCTTTTTTTTTTTTTTGGAAAGATTCGTTGCTGTTGCATTTTTCATCGTCGTTGCATAGAGGGTGTTTACACCAAAATATACTGGTACAGACTAAAGAACTATTTGCATTCGTCAAACAAATCCGTACAGACTCAAGTGAACTCATTTCATTGTTTGCGTTCGTCACTTGGTTTGGATCATGGGCTAGATCGTAGTCTTCTTTCAAGAACATAGGTAAAACTCGCTCTCTACATTCTGCCGTGCCAACAGGGCATGAGCTCCTGCGACAGCCTCACAGCGCCTTGCCCTTTCCCTTGGACTCGGCCTCGCTCTTCTCGCTTATGTCCCAGTGGTTGAGGTATCCGGCGCCGGCGCACAGGTAGGTGGCGAAGCTGAGCCAGCCGAGGTAGGGCAGCTGCAGCAGGCCGGCGGTGCGGTCGACCTGGCCCCAGACGTAGGCGAGGTAGGCGTTGACGCCGAGGAGGGAGACAATGTCGGCGGTGGCCTCGGCGGGGCGGCGCAAGACGAAGAAGAGCGGCGTCCAGGCGAGGTTGAGGGCGAGCTGGATCGAGTAGAGGGTGGCGCCGTGACGCGTGAGGTCGGCCTGGGCGGGGGTGGCGCCGGGGGCGAGGCCGATGGAGACGGCGCGGTAGGCGGCGTAGCCCATCAGTCTGGGAGGAGGGCACAGTCTGGGTCAGCTTGGCGGTTTTTGCATGCCGGGGGAGGATGGTGTTGAAGGCGGGGGAATTACCCGTAAAGGAGAGTCCAGACGGGGCCGAAGACATAGGGAGGGGGGTTTCCGGGCGGGTTCTTGATGCTGGCGTAGGTCTTGAGAGTGTTGGCGCCTGAGAGCAAAAGGGTCAGCTAAGGTTTGGCCAAGACGCGTTGCCAACGGCCATGGCGCAAGGCCGCGCGGGGGTGGAGGGGAAACTTGCGACTTGAGGTGTAGCCGACGGCAGTTCCCAGGGCGATGGGCAGGAGGATTGAGGTTGCCGGATGGTCGAAGACCTGGCGAGGCAAAGTGAGAGCGGGAATAAATGTGGTCATCTTGAATGATTGCACGCGGTAGCAGAGGGAGCGTATGGGAGAGGAAGAGAGCAAGGTTGGATCGTGGGCAGGAGAAGTGGTTCGAGGGCCAGATATGTTGGGGATGTTTGGGGGGGTGTGATCACGGGTCAAGGGTGCCGCCCAGCGGGCGCATTCAGGCACTGGAAAGCTATGAACTTGCGATGACGTAGAACACCGAAGGCCGAGAGGCATCTGAGCCCATGTTTGTCAGGTCATTTGCAAGGGGAATCACCGCACATCGGAAAAATGCATTGTTGAATGGACATGAAAGGTCTACCTAGGGTTAGATGCCAATGAGGCTCATGATGCAGAATTCACGATGTTGTCAAGTCCTCCTTGTCGTTCCGCTGGTCGTAGTCACTGTCGAATGCACCACCAGACACAGATCTTGGGCGTCAGGGAGCTCCAACTGGGATCAACAGCGTCTCCACCATGCGCCCGTTATAGCACTATCGCATAGTGCAATTGGTGGGTTGTGCCCAGGCGCTAGGCCGCTCCAGGGCACCAGGCTCCAGGCAAAGGGCCGTGAGTGGCCCTGGATCGCCGCTTTGCCGGTACGTACGTACCACGTACCTCCTCCATTCGAGCAAGCAAGCGAACGAGCGCGTCCTGCAGCTCTCCCGTCCAGGTCCGTCCCAGAGTTCACCTTCCACCTCGGAAGCCCGCTGTCTCGCGTCTTCGCAACCACCATCCCACGAGACAAGGCCTTGTCGCCATTGCCATCATCGATTGATTGTTCGTTATTCCCCCTTTCTCCCACTATTCGTCTTCCTATCCTGCGAGTCCTCCAATCCTCCTACTACCTACGCTGTAGCTGTCGCTGTCGCTGTCGCTGCACCTTTGCAACAGCCCGGCCAGCCTCCCATCACCTCATGACCCTCCCATCTTTTCTCCCCCCCCCCAATTCCCTTCGCCTTCATCGGCCTGTATTGGCTGTCGTCTTTTCTCTGCCCTCGTCCTATTCTTCAGTTCGTTGATCGAGCTCTTCCATCTTTTCTCTATTGCCTTCTCTCTCCCCTCCCCTTTCCCGCTTTCTTCCTCAAACAAACATCCTTTGGCGATCGATTGACTTGTCTAACCGCAAACATGACGCCAAACAGCATCATCAAACCGACCGCAAGCAAGCGAGAAGACGGCATTTCCTGACGACCAGTCGACCGACCGAAGCGGTACAAGACACGCCCCTAAACGTGCTCCCGGACTGGGACCGCGCCAGCCGACCGACCTAGACCGATACTCAAGCCGAGATGGATTCGTATTCATCCTACCGCGAGCCTGCTCGGTCGCCCGGCGACAGGAACTGGGAGAAGACGGAGCGCTCCGACTCCTACCGCGCCCGTTCCCCTGGTGCGTGCTTCCATTTTTCACCATCCATCTCTCTCCTCTACCCATGGTGCCAATGCCGTGATCGTTCGCTGAAGTAGCGATTCTCCCTGTTACCGCTTGCTCGCCTCTTTCTTCCTTTCCATACTTGACACAAAGCTTACTGTTTCCAAGGCGCAGAACGCTCGCGAGATCGCCGTCGCTCGAGATCACCCGCTGCTGTCGACCGGTACGAACCCCGAGGTCGCCGAGATGACCACGGCCGCGACAGGGACGACCGCCGCGGTGATCGCCGGATCGGATCGCCTCCCGCCAACATTGACCGCTATGTGCCTGGCCAAGACAACGGAGGGCCATCGCTCACTGTCAATCCTCTCATGGACCCTGTCAAGCTCCCTTACCAGGTCGGATTCTCCTACTTTGGCGAATGGTGGCGTATGAACGAAAAGATCAAGGAGGACAAGGAGCGCCAGCGTACCGGCAGGCGACGCGAGCCCGAGAGGCCGCGCGGCTCCCGTGAGGCGCAAGAAGAGCGCGACAAGGAGAAGGCCAGGATTCAGGCCGCCTACGACACCTACAAGGAGGACCTTCAGGCCAAGATGGCCCGAGCCTTCGTCTCGGAGCACAAGAAGGAGCAGTGGTTTCGCGAGCGCTACGTCCCAGAAGTCCGCGATCCGCTACGCCAGCAGATCAGCGAATTCCGCCGCGGCGGCTACACCCAGTGGGAGCAGGACCTCGAGTCTGGCACTTTTGATGACTTCTCGCTCGAAGGCCTGCCGAAGAACGATAGCAACGGCCAGGGCGGCCTCGTGGAGAAGGAAGAGGGCGAGGCCATGGCGACCAACGAGATTCTGGGCGTCGGTGACCTTGTGCCTGCCAATGGCGCCGATATCCGTGACGAGAACCTGTTCCAGCCGACGCTGCTCTTCAAGACGATCGCCCCGCATGTCAGCCGCCAAAACCTCGAGGCTTTCTGCAAGGAACACTTGGGAGAAGAGGAAGGCGGCTTCAAATGGCTGTCGCTCTCGGACCCCAACCCCAGCAAGCGATACCATCGCATCGGCTGGGTCATGCTGCACCCATCCTCCGAGACGGCCGCAGCAACACTCGACCGAGCGGACCCCGCGGACGAGGATGGCGAGGCTCCCAAATCGCCCGTCGTCGTGTCGACGGCCGAGAAGGCCCTCGACGCCATCAACGGCAAGACTGTAAAGGACGAATCGCGCGGCGATTTCACCTGCCATGTGGGAGTGCACAACCCGCCTCAAGCCCCTCGGAAGAAGGCGCTGTGGGATCTGTTTTCCACGCCTGAGCGCGTGGAGAAGGACCTCGCTCTCGTGCAGCGCCTTGTGAACAAGTTTGAGGAAGACTTTGGTTCCGATTTTAACGCCATTCTCAAGATTGAGGAAAGGGTCGATGACCTCCGCAGCGCGGGCCGTTTGCAGCCCGCAGTTCCTCCCAAGCCCAAGGGCCGCCGCCGCCGCGCGGACGCCGATGGAGCGGACGCTGAGCACATGCACGATGCCGAGCAGATGGAAGACGTCGAAGGCGAGGAGGAAGATGAGGGCGCCGTGGACGAAGACGACGAGGTCGACGACGAGGAACTCCTCGTCAAGAAGAAGCAGCTGGACCTCATGATTGAATATCTTCGACGCGTCTTCAACTTTTGTTTCTACTGCGTCTTTGAGAGCGACTCGATCCACGAGCTCACCCGCAAGTGCCCCGGCGGCCACCTGCGGCGGCCTCGTGCCACGCTCAGCACTGCTGCCAAGGCTGTGGCCAAGGCCAGCGCGCTCGGCGAGCCGTTTCCTGGAAAGAAGCGTGGCGAGGCAGACGAAGATGGCGAGGTGGCCGATGGCGGCGACAGGCGGTTCCGCGGAGCGGGCGGCAAGGCTGAGCAGCAGCTGCTGCGGGCGTATAACTGGGTCAAGACGTTTGAGGACAAGGTCATGCAGATTCTTGAGCCCGACTCGGTCGACCTGCGCAAGCTTGGCGGCAAGCCTATCGATGAGGCCATGGACGAGGAGCTTCTCAAGTATGTGAGGCAAGAGGATGAGCACAAGTTCCGTTGCAAGGTTCCCGAGTGCCAGAAGCTCTTCAAAGAGGACCACTTCTGGAGGAAGCACGTCGAGAAGCGGCATCCCGAGTGGCTCGAGGGCCTGAAGCAGGAGGTACGTTTCTGGGCTCGTTCGCCGCAGTGGAGGTTCATGCCACTAACATTTGTGACCATAGATTGAACTCATCAATGCCTACGTGATGGACCCCTCCCACATTGCGCCGTCGCGAACGGACGCCAACTCAAACGGCCACTTCCCGCCGCCCAATGGCCAGGCTGCGGCCGGCACACCGCGTGGATTCAACCTCAACACGTTCAACATGAATAACATGATGCCGATTCCAGGATTCCCCATGCCTCCTGGCGGTTTCCCCGGCTTCATCCCCGGCGGTGCAGGCCAAGGTTCGGGCTGGAGCGGCGATGGTCGTGATGGTCCAGGCCCGATCCGACGAGGCGGCGGCGGCGTGGGTGGCGGCGGCCGTGGCGGTAACTACCGAAGCGGACCGTACGACCGCAGGCCGAATCCGCGGTACGACGGAGCGCGCGGCCGCGGCGGTCCCAGCAAATGGGGCGACGGCGGCGCGGGAGGTGCGGCAGTCGGCCCTCGCGAGGCCACGCAGGGTCGAAGCCTCAAGAGTTATGAAGACCTGGATCACGTCGCAGGAGGCGGCGGTGGTGAGCTGAACTACTAGAGGCCTTCGCTCATCCGCTGTATCCAGAGCCAAAATGAACGAGGACACGGACAGGAAAAACAGCCGGTGATAACGAAGCCGGAATGATACGTAGGGACTCGGCAAGGGAAGAGGCGTTTTGTGTTTCCATGTTTCTTTTTCCCGAGGGTCGATTATTCTCATCTCCCGGTTGAAGGAGAGACGGGCTCGAGGAAAATCTCAGCCGTCATGTCTTCTGTATTATGTATCACCATCACCAAAATTGCAGATAGCGGAACCAGTTGCTTTTGAAAACAACAAAGACCAAGTGGCCTGCTCGTAGATGTGTGACGCGAGAGATGGCGGCGGCCTTTGCACGCGCATGAGGCGCTTGTTCACTGCCATATACCAGCCTCGGCCAGCTCGTGAGCGTTGGAATCCGCCGGCAGCCTTGTGGCATCTGGCCCCCACGAGTGACATTGTCAAGGCGGGTTCATTCTGATCTTGGCCTTCTTCCTCTTGTATCTGGTTACCCACGTTGAGGTGAGATCAGAGGCAAGGTAGCCAGACGACGCCAACCTCGTCTATTCGATTGCCATCCAAGGTCGCAGTTGCAGGGCCCCATGATCGAACTCTCGAACGACACCGTTACGAGGCAGATGTCGGAGGACATTATCGCTGCGGCGTCCACGTCAAGCACTCCATCTTGGCCGAATGCTCACTGCATCGTCAACACGACCCAGCTTTCCGTGCTGCATAAGGGGGTTCCCCATGGCATCGCAAACGCGGCCGGTCAGCTGTCCATGTCGGATCTACTGAACAGGCGCTTCACGGCGCGCGACCGCTTCTGTCACGTTGACAACATGGTCGCAGACCCTCTTCTCCTTCATCTCAGCGGCGCAAGCACGACTGCCTCGCCGTGCAGCATCTCCTCCCGGCGCCGCCGTCGCCCGCGGGCCAGGTGCCGGGGCGCACCGTCGAGAAGTCAATCCTCGTGTCCGACGCAGCGCGGCTGCCGCACGCGCAGGAGGACAGATAGTTGGTGTTCCTCATCTCGACGGACCCGGACGTCAGGGATGGAGAGCGGGGCCAGCTTTTTGTGCTGTGTACTTGGGACGGATGGGCATGCGTGGACATGGCGAGGCGTCAAGGATTGGGCGCCGTGGTTGGAGCTGCCGAAGATGGCGGCGCGAGATTTGCTGATCGCCTGAGGTTCCAGTCGCATCGAAGGTGAGGCTCATGATGTCCTAACACCTTATCATCCTTGGGTAGGCTAAGGGCTTGGAAGGACGTGTTGATGGTGTATGATGTCTCTATATGAGAGGGTGCAGGTGACCGTCTGTTCACGCACTCGATCTCACAATATCGAGTTTGCGTGACGTGATTTCGTCTTGCCGGTTCTTAAGAGGCCAACCAGTAAATAATGTCAAGCAGCATGAGAATGTTGACTTTCGGACATCGACGGTGGTGTCGGTGCAGGTCCGCATCGTAGAGCCCCTACTGTCGTTTTGACCCAGTTCGGCCTGCAGTCTTCCGTATATGGCGGACTGCAGGCCGAACTACCTTAGGTCAAAACGATGGTTGGATTTGAACCCTGACGCATCCCCAACAACGTCCATGAGCCCTGCTTGATGGTCCCATGGCAATGCGTCTGGCCTTTTCCCGATCAGCACAAACTCATTTGACAACCCTTCGCCCAAACAGCAAAACGCTACGAACCATGTATCTCCGCGAACCCTGGTATTGTTTCTTGCATTGACGGTGACCGAGGCCTTGACCGTTAGGGGCGCCTTTAGTTTCACGACTAGAATTAGCAGCATGCGTATATACAGTCTTCCCTTTTCTAGAATCAACCTCGGCCATTGCCGATCATTGGACATGAATACCACCCGTTGAATGCCTGCTTTTGAGGGATATCATGCTATTCAGTAACTCGACCGCGAGGAAAGGCGTCTACAGCATCACCGTGGCACATCTGCTGAAGTTTGTCATATTCCCGGCCTGAGGCGGTATTTTTAGTCTGAGCTCCTCTCGCAGCGCATCAAGAAGGCAAGCAGGCAACATCATGCGCGTCTCTGATGGAAAGAAGGCCTAAAGATCACGTTGGCTCTGTGAATTCCACGGACCATAGTAGGTAAGTTGACGACCGTCCAGTCGTCTTCGCTATGCCCCCGTCGTCTGGTTCTCGGGAAATCCACGTCTTGAAGACGCAGTACTACGCTGTCAAGATTAAGAAGTATAGCAAGCGTATCGTGGTAAGCGCCGACCTTTGACAGACTTGTGTTCATAAAATGTTGACATGGCCTTCCTGTTGCTAAATCACAAGGCCTCGAGCTGGGCCTTGGTTTCAGGTGACTCGAGAGAATGATGTTGGTGACGAAGTCTGCCGCCAAACACAGAGACCTCCGAAAATAGCGAACACTCAAAAGTGACAAGATACCCAAAAATGACCACGTCGCTCGGTCACAGTGAGACCTAGTTTGATTCGCCTTGCTCTACCTAACAGGGCATTATTTATTTGACCTGTCTCCTTCGCTGGTTGGGGGCGCAATGCACCGTCGGCGCTGAGGCGCGCAGCCTAGCCGCCGACGGGTCTCGCGGGTGTTGGCCCCAACAGTTGCTTTCAAGGTCATCGGGTGCTCAGCGGTGCTTCAATTGATGTACAAAATCTTGGGTTGATGTGTATGATAAGTAGAGCGGCGGTGCTGTCTATCCTGGTGAGCGTGTCAAACTTCTACATTCCCGATTCGTTATCTCATCACACGACCGACTGCGTTCACACGTTTATTCTCCCATCGAACTTGTTCATCTGTGCACACAGTCTCTGCTCTACCTCCTCAACATGCTCGACGCACGCAACTACACCATCGGCTGGATCTATGCTGTGGAATGCGAGTTCGTAGCAGCAAGGGCTTTCCTGAGCAAAACACACGAGGGACCGATATACCTCGGCATCCACGATAAAAACGAATATGCGCTCGGTGAAATGGCGGGACACAACATTGTCATAACCGTCCTGCCCAGAGACAACTACGGAATATGCCAGGCCACAGTGGCGGCCGCGAGCATGGTGTATAGTTTTCCCAACGTCCGCATCGGCCTCATGGTCGGCATTGGCGGAGGCGTTCCAAGCGCGAGAAACGACATTCGACTCGGAGCTGTTGTCGTCGGCGTCCCCCAGGGCTCACACTCAGCCGTTCTCCAGTACGATCTCGGCAAGATGGCCCAAGGCGAGGCATTTGAGACTCGGAGCCACCTGAACAAAGCACCCAGCCTCCTCCGCAGCGCCGTGCAGAAGTTGGAAGCCAGATACCACTTCGATGGTGTTCACCTTTTAGACGCCGTGGAGAAGGCAGCGCAGAAGATTGAGGATGGCGACTACTACCGTCGACCACCGATCACCTCTGACAGGCTCTTCCGGTCCTCCTTCACGCACCCTTCTTCGAAACCATCCCTTCCGTGCAGTCAAGTTTGCAAAGGGACATCTCATCTTCAGGCCCGGCGGGCCCGAAGTGGAAGACCAGGCGACCCTTTCGTCCACTATGGGCTGATAGCCTCGGGGAACCTGAGAATATCCTCTGCTTTGAGACGGAAGCGGCAGGCCTGGTGGATTCGTTCCCCAGTATTGTTATCCGCGGAATCTGTGACTATTCAGACACACACAAAATTGACGAGTGGCAAGGTTTCGCGGCGATGATGGCAGCGGCGTACGCGGCTGATCTACTGCGCGAGGTGCCGTCCACCACCACCGCGAGGGAGTTGCAAATCAGGGAAGTGCTGAACACGAGTCGGCACCCACGGATTAAGAGTGCTTCAAGACGGGTCCGAAGCTTTTGACAGTAAATGTGTGGTTGGACTATGTCTAGTGCCTTGACCAGATTGAGGATGGAAATGGTTGAGTATGGCGTGCATTCGAACGTTGCTGGACTCATGACATGTTATTATTGTAGATCTCTGGCAGAAAATGAACAGTTCAGGGAAACTGAGAGAGCCTAGTTCATATGCTTGGTCGTTTTCGAATAGCTTCGTCTCACGGTTCCGCGCGCTGGCGTACTATGACACCTGGATTGCCTAGGGCTCCCCATTTGAGTTAGGTATGGCAGCTGACAGCTGGATCGTCCGGCCAAGTGCCAAACCGCTGTGGCCATCGGCCAGCGATGCGCTTTGGTGTGTCTCTACAGGGATCCGAGGGCTCTCAGAAGACTACTGCTCAGTTCATCGACGGTAGATGATAAACCCCAGGAAGCTGCGACAATCGACTCGAAGAGGCTTGAATGTGCTGCTGTTTGTGTCCCTATGAGGCATCTGGTGCAAAGTAGTGCAATCATGGTGGTGTTGCCTCGTGGCACTGGGGCGGCAGACAGCACACGTGATGACGACGACATCGCCCTCACTGACTGCATCGCTCCGAAGGGGAAAGAGGCCGTTATGCTCCTGTTAGGAGGAGCCATGACTACTACAGACATGGGTGATTACAAGCCAGTTCCAAGATGGCGAAGTGACTGTTGTCTGATCTAGCGGTGCCGGTAACGGGTTGTTCGCTTGATCCCGAGGGACCGGGAGGTGGAGATCTGAGGAGGCGACAGCGTGCGGCATAACGACTGGTCCGAGCGTTGGGGGAGTCGGGTAAACGTGCATCAAGTGGGGCCGCCGTGTAAGCCGTTTTTGATGAGACAAAAGAGCTGTGATTGTATTGTTTTTTTACGACGATAGTTACGAAGGGGTGGTGGGGTGGAATGTGATGCAAGATCAGAGGTGGGAGAATGGGTTTTGCCCGGTGATCCATGTTTCGCCGAATGTGTCATGGAACCTGTCCATGCGTGTTTGCCTGACTGCCAGTAAGCAGCAGGCAGCATGCAGTAGGCAGTAGGCAGTAGGCATCTGTCCGAGGCAGGCGTATTGTGCCTGGCGGTTGGATCCTGCCTGTTGGACGAGGTAGCTATGTACCTTAGGTACCTGGGTCACTCTAGGCAGGCAAGCAGACACAGGGCTGGCGATGCCCCTAAGTCACCGAGAACTGGAATGCAGTGAAAACAAGGGAAAGGGTAACACTACCTAGCTGCTTCGATCGTAGCTGCACGCGACAAAAGTACGACGTCGACAGGCCATCTTCCAGTGCTTCCTTCCCTGCTTGCGACGGAAGCCATGAGGTGTCCAGTGCTGCCGTGATATTTCCCACTGTGGAGTCATACCGAGAAAGCGAACAAATGCTGGCAACCTGATTGGTTAGGCGTATGCAGCCGTCGTACTTTTGGTAGCGGCGTGTCGCATCGGGCAAGCGCGACTCTCGTACTTTTCGGTTTCGAGGTTACGACACGACACGGCGCGGCATTCTCTGGAAACCCCCTCCGCCATTGTTCCTTCCGCCGCCGCCGCCCCTCCTGGGCCTCGCCTCGAGTGTGGTGCGTGGTGCGGTCAGCCGCTTTGATGAAGCGAAATCGTTGCGAGATGAATCATGCTAGATAGATGCACTCTCCTTCATCATTTGATCATCCGCCTCATCTTCTTTTTTTCGAAATGTTGAAATACACCCTGCGTGCCTCAACTTTTGACCATGTGTACTTCAGCTATCTGATCTGATCTGATCTACTCCCTCTCTATTACCCTCGCAAGGCGTCTTGAGGGCGAACAACCCCTGGCCTGCCCTCCATTGACGGACAGACCCTCATCGCCACCCGCCTCATCCCTACCTACACTCCGGATCCCTCACTACGCTCCTTTCTCGTCTCGCTCTTCTTGCTCGTCTTGCCAACCGTCATGGCCGACGTCAAGGCGGAAGTTCCCCTCGCCGAGGCCAGCCGCGAGGCCAGTGTCCCCTCCACCACGGACGAAAAGCCCAAGGATACCAAGCTTCGCCCTGAGCGTGAACCGACCTTCAAAGACTACATTCGAGTCTTTTCCTATGCCACAAAATGGGACATTGTCATCTACGTCTTCGCCGCCGTCTCCTCCATCGGCTCCGGCACCACCCTGCCCCTGATGAACGTCATCTTTGGCCAGCTCGTCAGCCAATTCACTGGCTATTTTTCCGTGCCTCCGACCACCAGCAGGTCTGAATTTGAGGCTCTGCTCGACAAGCAGGCCCTCTACATCATGGCCCTCTTCATCGGCCGCCTGACCCTGACCTATATCAACAAGTTTTGCTTCCGCATGATCGGTATCCGCCTCTCCTCCGCCATCCGACTGCACTACATCGAGAGCCTCTTTGGCCAGTCCATCCACGTCCTCGACTCCATGCCCCCTGGCGCCGCCGCCGGCACCATCACCACCACCGCCAATGTCCTGCAGCTAGGCCTCTCCGAGAAGCTCGGTACCTTCATGGAGTACAACGGAACCATCTTCACCGCCATCATTGTCGCTTTCACCTGGAGCTGGGAGCTGACCCTCGTCACCTCCTCCGTCCTCTTGTTCCTCATCTTCGTCCTCGGCGTCATCCTGCCCTTCCTCGTCAAGGGCCAGTCCGCCATCACCCAGTCCGAGGCCAGGGCCACCGCCGTCGCCAGCGAGGCCTTTAGCTCCATCCGCATGCTGACGGCCTGTGGCGCCGAGGAGCGCATCACCTCTCGCTACGATCGCTGGGTCGACGACGCACGCCGCAAGGGCCAGGCCACGGCCCCTCTGTTGGCGACCCAGCTCGGACTCATCTTCTTCGGCATCATGGGCGCCTTTGGCCTGGCCTTTTGGCACGGCACGACCATGCGCCTGAACGGATCCATCGATGATGCTGGTGTCATCATCATTGTCATCATGTCCGTGATCATGGTCGTCATCTCCCTCGAGCGCATCGCCACGCCTCTCGTCGCCGTCACCAAGGCCATGGTTGCCGCCTGCGAGTTCTTCACCGTCATCGACGCCCCCAAGCCCCCTACCGGCACCTTGAAGGAGCCCGATGTCTCGGCCGACCAGGACATTGTCTTTGACCATGTCACTTTTGCCTATCCGAGCCGCCCGCACGTCAAGGTCCTCGATGGTCTGAACCTGCGCATCGAGAAGGGTCTTAACACGGCCATCGTTGGTCCTTCGGGTTCTGGCAAGTCCACCATTGTGGGACTCATCCAGCGATGGTACAGCTTGAACCACCAATACGTCATTGCCAAGACGGTCGAGAAGGACAAGAAGAAGGAGGCGCAGAAGAAGAAGAACCTCAAGAAGGGCATCACAGACTCGGACGAGGAGGAGCCCGTATCCCCTCCTGAGGAGACCGGCCCTGCCATCGAACTGTCTGGATCCGTTACAACCTGCGGACGCTCTCTGGACGACATTGAGCTCAAGTGGTGGCGATGCCAGATCGGCCTCGTGCAGCAAGAGCCCTTCTTGTTCAACGACACCATCTTCAAGAACGTTGCCAATGGCCTCATCGGCACCCCCTGGGAGCACGAGTCGGAGGAAACGAAGAGGCAGCTCGTCAAGGAAGCTTGCGAAGAGTCATTTGCCAACGAGTTTATTGACCGACTACCTGAGGTAAGTTTTGCTGTCTTGGATGCGTCTTCCCGTAAACAAACCTAACACAGATCCTGCAGGGGTACGACACGCAAGTCGGCGACAGCGGAGCCAAGCTCTCGGGCGGTCAGCGCCAGCGTATTGCTATCGCCAGGAGCATCGTCCGAAAACCGAAAATCGTCATTCTCGACGAGGCCACGAGCGCTATCGACGTTCGGGGAGAAAAGATTGTCCAGGCAGCGCTAGACAGGGTTGCTCGCAACAGAACCACCATCACCATTGCCCACCGCCTGTCCACAATCAAGAAGGCCGACAAGATCATCGTCCTGAAGAAGGGCCAGGTTATGGAACAGGGCACTCATCACAGCCTTCTTGAGGACGAGAACGGTCTTTACTACGGACTCGTGCATGCTCAGCAACTCTCACTCGGTGAGCCCACCGAGGCCAACACGGACGACAGCGAAGAGGACCTCAACACCATTCTTCAGAGGGAAAAGAGTGCGGCGTACTCCGAAGCGGAACAAGTCAACGACAAATCAAAGGACAAGTCACCCAACCTCTTTAGCAGCTATGGAAAGCTTATAGTCGAACAACGCGCGCGATGGCCTTTTTTCATCATTATCATTCTGGCCGCCATGGGCGGCGCCTCTTCCACTCCATTGCAGGCTTGGTTGCTGGCCCAAGTCCTGAACGTCTTCACAATCCAAGATCCTGGAGAGATCCGAAGCGAAGGCAACTTCTGGTCGCTGATGTGGGCTGTTCTAGCCATTGGCGTCGGTGTCAGCTACTTCTCCGTCATCTACTCTGCCGTTTTTCTACAGTACCGCATCAGTGCTGTTTACAAACGCCAATATTTCGGGGCTATTCTGTTTCAACGGACGTCCTTCTTCGACCAAGAGGAAAATTCTCAGGGATCACTGACAGCCAGGGTCTCTGGCGACCCCAAACAGCTTGAAGAGCTGCTTGGCATCAACATTGCCTTCCTTCTCATGGGTATGCTCCAGGTTATTGGCGCCCTGTCGGTCGCTTTTGCTTTCGGCTGGAAGTTGGCCCTCGTTGCCACATTCGTGACCATGCCCATCGGTCTGTTCTCGGCTTACTGGAGGTTCAAGTATGAAATGCAGTTTGATCAGATGAACGGCGCCGTGTTTGCGGAGAGTGCCAAGTTTGCAGCTGAGGCCATCGGCGCTTTCCGCACCGTTTCGGCCCTGACCCTGGAGGATACCATCAACAGACGTTACGGAACCCTTCTCAACGATCTGAGAATCAATGCTCTGAAGAAGGCGTGGCTGGCATCGTTTATTGTGGCCTTTGCTGAAAGCTCTGGGCTCGGCTGCCAAGGTCTCATCTTCTGGTACGGCGGACGACTTCTGGCCAGTCGGGAATACGACATGGTCACCTTCTTTGTCTGCTTCATGGCAGCTATTCAGGGCGCCGAGGCGGCCGGACAGGCCCTCAGTTTCGGGCCTAATGCGGCCCAGGCCAGTGCTGCTGCGAGCCGCATCATCAAGATGCGCGACTCCCGGAATCTCGACGAGCATGCCGAGTCGGCGACCATTCCTGACACCGAAGGCGGTGTCAAGATTGAGCTGCGGGATGCCCACTTCAAGTATCCTACTCGCAACGTGTCCGTCTTCAAGGGTATCAACCTCACTGTCGAGAAAGGCCAGTTCGCCGCCTTGGTCGGAGCGTCCGGCTGCGGCAAGACCTCCATCGTGTCGCTGATGGAGCGCTTTTACGATCTGACGCAAGGCGACATCCTCTGCAACGGCAAGAGCATATATGACCTGAATATATACGAGTACCGCAAGGCCTTGTCGCTGGTTGCCCAGGAACCCAACATGTTTCAAGGCACCATCCGCGAAAACATTCTGCTCGGCATTGACGGGGACGTGCCAGACGAGCAACTCCACGCCGTCTGCCGCGACGCATCCATCCACGACTTTATCGTGTCCCTGCCCGAAGGCTACAACACGGACATTGGCTCCAAGGGCGTGTCTCTTTCCGGCGGCCAGAAGCAGCGCATCGCCATTGCGCGTGCGCTCGTCCGCGATCCCAAGATTCTGCTCCTCGACGAGGCGACCAGCTCGCTCGACTCCGAGTCGGAGAAGCTCGTGCAGGCGGCGTTTGAGCGCGCCAGCAAGGGCCGCACCATGCTCGTCGTCGCGCACAGGTTGGCGACTGTCCAGAACGCCGACGTCATCTTCGTCATGGGCGAGGGTAAAGTGCTGGAGAAGGGCAACCACGTGGAGCTGTTGAAGAAGAAGGGCGTCTACTGGCACATGGTACGTTATTGGCGATCCGCCCCGCATGCTTTGACCGTGATGGAGCTAACAGCACGCAACAGTGCCAGAGCCAGGCTCTCGATCGCTGAGGGTAGACGAGAGCGACAGCGAGCAGACTGTTGGCTCTGCGGGGGGCATTGGGCAGGCGCACCACGGTTTGAATAGATGGTTTTTTTTGTTTGCAGTGACAGGATACCCTCACCTTTGCTTTCCTTTTCTGAGTTTCCACCGGATGAAACTTTTCGCATCTCTCTTCTTGCATTTACATCCACTCCATGTACATGATCCAATTCGTTCGTGTAGTATACCATGTATTTAGAACATAGCACCAATCTATCCTGCCGTGGACTGTACCATCCCAAACGAGAACTGACCAAGCGATACGGCGAGCAGCAGGTGCAAAAAGACGAGCATCAAACGAGGGTAAATATGGTATTGTCATCAACTGTGCAAATCATCGTGCGAACCTCGTCTGTCCGTGCAGATCCAACGCCTCACTTCGTCTCCAAGCACCAACTATATAAAAACGCCAGATCGCTATGCATCAAATACCAGAGATGGTTTGAAAAGCAAAATCAAGCCTCAGCCTCAGGCGCCTTCATCCCCCAGAAGTGATCGAGCTCGGCGGCAATGTCGCCCGTGTGCGTCATGACAAAGTCGTGCGTCCCGCCGAGGACCCGCCAGTGCACGGCGTCCGGTCCTCCGAGCAGCGGCAGGCCCTGGCGCTCATAGTCGACGCAGTCGATAATCTCGTCCCCCTGCGCCAGCAAGACGGCAGTACGGCCCTTGCCCATGACCCGCCCGAGCTGGGCCCAGGTAGGGTGCTGGTCGGTCAGCGGGGCGTGGCGGATGCAGCTCATAAAGGCGGGGACGAAGCCGGCGTGGTGGGTGACCATCCAGCGGACGTAGTCGTCGACGCGGCGCTCAAGAGGCATCTCGGGAGGCGGGATGCTGGGATGAGTCGTCTCGGAAGCAGCGACGTCGAGAATCTTGCCCGTCGCCGAGGGCTGCTGGCGGAGGGTGGGTTTGCGGTTGGTGGAGGCGGCGATGGGGCGCTGGAGGCGGCGCTTTGTGGCAAAGGCGAGAAGGCGCCGGGGCACGAGGCCGGAGCGGAAGGTGAGGCGGGCCACCGTCCCGAAGTCGGCGGCGGAGATGAGGCCGGCAGGGGCGAGGAGGATCAGAGACTCGACCATGTGGGGAAAAGACGCCGCGAAGGAGGCGGCGAGTGCGCCGCCGAGGGAATAGCCGACGAGGCGGAACCCGTGCTGGCCGGTCCACGGCAGGGGCGAAGAGGCGAGGGCTAGCAAGATATTGGTCGTGTACAAACGTTCATCGTGAGGCAGGTCGCCCACTCCGTCGGTAAAGCCGCGGCCAAAGAGGTCAAAGACCATGACTCGGCAGCCGCGGGCAGCGAGGGCACGAGCAAGTGGTGCGAGGGTGATGCACGGAGTAGAGATGCCATGGACGAGGAGGACCTTGGGCCCTTCTAGGTTGCCAAACTCGTAGACCCGGACGGTGCCGTACGGGGTAGTGACATCACGGCCGCCGGGGAGTGTGTCTGGGTTGTAGATATGGTCGTGGATGGCATGGGAAGCTTCCTTGGGCAGGGATGCGCGAAGAGGACTGGGGATGATACGCCTCCACTTGGGATAGAGGACGTAACGACAAAAGTAGAAGGTGGCCAATGTCACGATGACTGTGGTGGCTACGATGGACATGGTGTCGGCGCTGGGGCGGGCATCAAGGATACGCGAGAGGGCATCCATGATGGGCGTCGGCGAGGAGCTGCTGGTCGAAGAGGAGGAAGACGAGAACAGAAGCGGTTCAGGTTCTGTAGACTGAGGCGCCGCTAGGGAGGCGGCGGGCTGAGAGGATCGTGACATGGCGCCGTATGTCGTGTCGGTGGTGGGTGTGATGGTGCCGGCTGGGAGTCGTATAAGGTCAGATGCCAGACCCTGGTGATGCGGCGATTGTATGCAACAGAGTAGTTCCTAAGATGAGGGGGCTGTGAACGATGAGAGGTATATGGAATGGAAACTGCGTCCTGAGTCGTGGGAAAGAAAGACCAGAGCTTCAGCCCATCCGAAGGTGCCGTGCACCCACGGGCGGAAGGAGTGGTCGTGGGGCGTCCTGCCTCCTAAAGTGAGACGGGAACGTGCCTGCCCCGACTGGACACTGGACACTGGACACTGGACAAGCACGCAAGGCACGATGCTGACTGCCGTCGAGGCCCTTGGCGCCAGGCGCTGACGTGCCTTCCATTGCTTTCTTGTCTTGTTCCAGGTGGTGACGTCGCCGCAACAGGGTTTCCCTTCAGGGCTGACTCTCTAGTCTTGGCTCCCCCACAAGCCCTCTGACCCGCTGGCCCTCTCAGGAGGACCTCCCCTCTCAGGCCTTTAACCCCTGTGGGCCATAGCGTTGGCGCCCAAGTCGGTCCTTAGCTTCAGCTTGGAGACCCACGCACCCCCGGGCCTAATCCGGACCTTTGAATCCGTCCGCTTCGGGTTCATCGGTCACAACTTGGAGATCCTCCGTAGGACGGACCCCTGTCCACGTATTCGCGTATCCCTCTTCCGGAACCGAGTGTCGCTCAACCCAAGCCAACCGCCCATGCAGCATCGCCCAGCTGCTTCATTACCAGACACATGTTCTCGATGATGGGCGGCCGCATCTCAGGGCTGCCCCTGAAGTTGGACCGCAGAGTCTCCTGCACGACTTCCATGCAGCCTTTGGGGTCCTCTACCGCCGCCTCGCGCGTCCCGGACGATCGAATGGGTTCCTGGATCGCCGGTTTGCCGTGTCCAAAGTGAACGAACTCTGTCACGACGCCTGATATCGTTCCATCCAGGTAAACCGTCTCCTGTCCCAACTGAGATGACGAGGCCCCTGGCCTGCCTGCTGTCTTGGTGACGACGCCATACGTCCAGAGCGCCAGGGCTGCGTGATGGATCGCCACAGCGTAAAAGTCCTTGAGGTGCCCCAGTGGGAACAGCTTGGCCTGTCGTAGCACCTGTCCTGCTTGCCAGACGGCCTGTCTGCCGTGGACGCTGTCCGCCCATTCCCGGAGGTTCGCCAGCACCCGTCGCGCCTGTTCCTCGCCCTCCTTGCCGGAAAAGAGCTGCAAATCGTCCAGGGACAGGTGTAGGTTCATAAGCAACAGGTGCAGCATGAGGTGTTCCTGGCATGAGAGCTCATGCCAGTCTGACACAATCGCCTGGAACTGATCCAGTCCTCTGCATAATTCCTCGTGTCGAGTTCGCAATAATTGCTCGCTCGTGCCTCCCGTCCTCGTCAGCCACGGCCGGTATCGCTGCACCGAGGAGAGCCTTTGGAATTCATTAATCAGAGACCAGTAGCCGTTGAGAAAAATGGAAACCGCCGCTTGCACGTCCAAGCGACGACGGTTGGACGTGAGAAGGCCAGGGTCTCGTAACAGATCGCCGACTGATGGCGCCCGCTTTGTGTAGCCAGCGGCCAGCTCGTGGTGGTGATGTTTCCAGTCCAACGCCGTCTTGGCAAACCAGAGCTCTTTCGCTTCAGGCAGCGGCAATGTCATCTCAGCATATGACATGCCTGGGCTGCCGAGCGTGGCCATGGAGGTCCTCGCATCCCGGATGAAGCAGTGAAAAGCAAGCCTGCTTTGGTGTCAGTCCACCGCCATCGAACCTGAACCCTTCTCCTGGTTCGAACATACCTCTTCCATGACTCGCGTTCGCACCATGACCGCCACTTCTGTTCGAGCACCTCGCCGCCGTCGGATTCGTCAATTTCAATGAGGGGATACATCGTACGTTGATATTTGTTGCGATATCGCATCATCTACCACGTGTAAGCATGTGAATGCAGACGCCCTGTGGCGAAAGTACTCACATTAGCAGGAATACCGATATGGCACTCGGCGATTTCCATCTTTCTTCGGTTCCCTGACCACAAGGCAACATCCTGCACGAGGGACAGAGATTGAACCAAGCCAACGTCCTTGATCGTAGTGTTGACTGACTCAAACCTTTCCGGAATCGTGACACGTACAGCCTCCTGCACCGCGAACCCCCATCTTCGAAGGGTTGGCACAGATGTCAGCACTGCGCCAGATGCTGCTGCCATGGCATGCCAGTCTGCAGGCATTGCCTTCATCTCGAAAGTTGCCTGATGGATCCACTGCGAGGTTTGGCAAAAGTGCGAAGCAAGGAAAATATGGATCAAGCTGTCCATGACTTCGGCCGAAGGGAACGAGGACGCCACGCGTGCCATCATCTCGCTGGTCTTGCACGTCTTCAGAACAATAGCCAGCACCCCATCTCGCGCGGCTCCGTCCAGACGGTCGGTCACCACCGTCTCGCCCAGCTTCTTGCGACTCTCGCGCAGGGCCCCTGTCACGTCGGGGGAAGGCACGGGCAGGTTAGACTGCTCTCCGTAGCCAGCATTGATACGCGACAGGCTCCATCGCCATGGCGATTCCGTCCATGCTTGAACGAGATTCTTGCGCATCTGTACAAGATCTATCGAATCTTCGGGGCTCGGCGTAAAGGTCTGCGATTGCTGAAACCCGCCCCCCAGCAAGTCAACGTTCCAGTAATCCAGTAAGCTGAAGTCAACATCAGTGAGATCAAGATTGTTGTGGGCGCTCAGGTCTAGGACGGATAGGCCCTGAACTTGACCCTGACCGTGACCTTCAGTAACTCGAGCCCCGTCATATCCTGGTTCGTAGATTACATTTTGAAGGAACCCAGAAAAGGCCTGCCCGGCAACATCGACGGCTTGGTTACCAGTCCAGACATGAGTTTGTTGCGGCAATATGCCCGTGTTTGCTTCTTCTGCGTTAACAACAGTCCCACGATGTTGTTTGTCATGTAACCTACTCTGCGGCGGAATGCTTCTGGGGGAATGAGGCAGGGTTGGCCCTGGATCCAGCACAGACAGCGCCGGCATAACCGAGCCGTCATCTGGTCCGGTAGCCGGATACGTTGAGATCTGGGGGACAGACAAGTGACTGGATGACCGTGCAGCATCGCTCGCGCTCTGGGACGCCGATGACGCAGGAGAGGTCGTTTCTGAGCGAGGACCGGCTGACAGGTGCAAGAGATGCATGGCGGCAGCAGAGCCGGCCTCGGCTGCGGAATACTCGCACACCTGGTTCCTCGTGCGGCATCGAGTACAAGGCTTAGTCTCTTCGCATTTCACGCGAGCAGCCGCACAGCCACGGCAAGCATGCGAGACCCTGGCGGCGGCTGGTGAGGCCGTCGTCCGGCGTCGCTTCTTAGCCGGATCATCGTCGTTCTCGTGGTTCGTGATGTGGCGCTTCAACAGGTCCTGGCGGGCAAAAGCCTTGCCGCAAACTTGACACGCAAAGCGCTTGCCAAGAGTGTGTGTCTGGATGTGCCGAGCCAGATGTTCGGGCCGGGAATAGCGTTTCTGGCAATGAGCACACTGATACAAGCTTGGTGTCGCAGCATGGGTGGGGGCAGGAGCAGGCGCCACGATGGCATGGGCAGTTGACTTTTCTGCGATGCCAACAGAAGCATACGCCTCATTCGCTGTATGAGCATTGCTACCGCCTGTTGGCGCCTGGACAAACAGTTGGCTATCGGCAAGGGGTAATTGGCCCGAATTGGCAGCAGGCTGGTTGGGGTGAAGCAGATTCGAAAGAGACGAAGGTCCAGTCGCCATGGCCACTCCGGCTGCGTTGGGCAAGCCAACTGCCGTATAAACTGTACCAGGAGCCGAGAAGTCCAAGATGATGCTCTCGAACCGAAGCGGAGCCCTGTGCCGCTAACTATCGGTCTTGTGGTGGTAGGAATGGATCGCAGGTAGTGGATGGGGATTCGGCTTTGTGGGAGGAAGGATGTGATCGGAGAGACAAAGGCACCTTGCCGCTTCCGATGTGGGAGGAATCCCGAACCCCTGTGGCGCCATTCGAATTAGTAGCTAAGTTCTACTTGCTCAACCCCACCAAAGAAAGGAATGGGGGGCTGGCCGGCAGCTACCTACGCATACAGGTAGGTACCTTACGAACTGACGTCCTCTGACACATCAGCACATCACAAAGAGTACTTCAAGCAGAGATCATTGCAATTGGGCAGTACTTCAGTCAAATTAAGATTTAGTTGCCAGAAGCATCCTCAATTCTCGGCTCAAAGCGACAAACCGCCATCAATCACAGCGTTGGCCCCGGTGACGGTTTTACTCTGGATAAAGCACCACACCTGCTCTGCAACCTCCTCGACTGTCGGGACACGCTTCAATGGCGTTCTCTCCCTCGCAGCCTCTCGCTGTTCCTCTGGGAATTGGAGACCCCAGTCCTGCCGCAAGTCAGTTCATGAAATACGCCAACAGAGCAAGAAACGGACCGTCCACATGATACCGGGAGAGACTGTATTGACTCGGATTTTGGGAGCTGCCGCCATCGCAAGCCCCTTGGCGAGATGGATCTGAGCTGCTTTGCTGACTGCATAGGCCTGGACACTCCGTGTGAGCTTGCCGTGTTTACCAGCATACTTGCTAGGGCGTGATTTACCAGCGAGCTTCCGCTGACCTTGACACCGGCCAAAGAAGCCGTTGTAATGAAGCAGCCCTCGGCCTCTTCGAGGTACGGCTTGACAGCACCCATCAGCCACAGATGGCTCTTGACGTTCATGTTGAAGCATCTGTCCCAGTCGTCCTCCACCAGGTTGTCATCCAAGTTGCGAATGTCGCGGATCTGTGTCCATCCGCCATTCGAAAACACCACGTCTAGACGCCGGTTTGTTGCAGGTGGTGCTCCCTGGACGGAGAAGTCTGACGCAGCTTGCACGAGAGATTTGATTTCATCTCGAGACTCCAGGTTGGCTTGTACTGAAAGAAAGTTATGGGCATCGTGTGGCAGCGGCGAGAGGGTGTGCAGCTCTGTTTCCAGGGCATCCGCACGTGCTTTATTCGAGTAGTAGTTGATGACGACTCGGTACCCCTTCCGTGCCAACAGTTTGGCGGCGGCAGCGCCCAGTCCGGCACTGCCAGCCGTTATGAGAGCGACATGAGGATGCGGTTGGGGTTCCGACATGGCGATTTCTCGAATGATCTGCTGAGTAGGGGTTCACAGGGTTGGGATTGGCTGAAACTGTTCTCATCAAGTTTGAAAGATCATGCAAGCTTCGTCCTTTTCAGGTACGAGTCCAGAAAACGAGCGAGGTGGTTGTAGAGACCAGCCAAGACGACCCTGGACTTTCACCATGACATGACGATAGGTAGCTATAAGTTTAATGGCCTGCAAGAGCTGTCACCGGCCCCTCCAGTTCCCCTCGGCCCCGCTGACGATGCGCATAAGCAGGCTGGGGCCGAGTCCCGAGACGAAGCCCAGTACGGCAGACCACAGGACGATTCCTCAAGCTTGAGTAGCCTCGCAGTCGGCCACCGTAGCATCTAATCTTTCGACCCAATTGAGCACGGGCATTTCACAGCACGAGCCACAGCTGCCACATTTGGCGGGGGGTCGTGCAGCGATGGTAGCCTTGCAGATCCAACGTCGCTCCCCCCGCCAGCTACCATCACACTTTCTCAACACCGCGTCAATTCCCACGAAGCCAGTCGTTTTTTTTGCCCCCACACCCCTCACTCCCATCCTCCACTCTCTTTTCCTTCGCCGGCCTTTACCTCCCGGCGCACTTTCCCCCTTCAGGCCGGTTCATGAAGACCTCACTCCAACGATTCTCCAGGTCTTTTTCTCGACCACCTTCACCTCTGACTCATCCCTCGCCATTTGCGCTTGCGACCCAGACTGCCCCTCCACGATCGAATACCCCGCGATACCGCGATAATCCACGTCACCGAGCACTGCACACCACGAACCCTGTCCTCCGACGCAGAGACGAATCGCCCAACATGCCGCCCAAGATAAAGTTCGAGCTAAAGACCCCAAAGGGCACCAAGGATTGTGAGCATGGGAACACCACGATGGCCCTGGCCAAGGTCTGACAGATGCAGGGTTCGGCCCCGACATGATCATCCGGGAGCAGATCTTCTCCGTCATGAGGAGTGTCTTCCAGCGCCATGGTGCCATGGAGCTGGACACGCCTACCTTCGAGCTGACCCCGATCTTGACTGGCAAATACGGCGAGGACAGCAAGCTGATCTACCAGCTGGCTGATCAGGGTGGAGGTACGCCGCAGCCATACTGTCTCTGAGAGGCCCAATGCTGATTCTATTCTTCCAGAGGACTCTTCCCTCGTCTACGACTGCACAGTGCCCATGGCGCGCTGGCTTGCGCAGAATGCCATTGAGTAAGAGAGGCCACCCAGTCCCGAGCGCAAGCAGCCTTGGGACAAATACTCTCGACGTCCCCAACATGCTGACTCTTACAGGAACGTCAAGAGATACACCATCAAGAAGGTCTACCGCCGCGACCAGCCCGCCATGAACAAGGGCCGTCAGCGCGAGTTCTACCAGGCCGACATCGACTTTGCCGGCGCCAACTACGACCCCATGCTCCCCGACGCCGAGATCATCCGAATCACCACCGAAGTCTTCTCTGCCCTTGGCTGGGCCGACACGTACACCATCAACATTAACCACCGCAAGATACTCGACGGCATGTTCCAGGTCTGCGGCGTCCCCGACGAGAAGATCCGCGCGATATCCTCCGCCGTCGACAAGCTCGACAAGGCCCCCTGGGCCGACGTCAAGAAGGAGATGACTGCCGAGAAGGGCCTTGACGAGGAAGTTGCCGACAAGATTGGCGAGTGGGTTATCCTCGAGGGCAAGCAGGATGTCATTGAGAAGCTGCGCGCAGACGAGAAGATGGCCGCCAACGAGCTCATCCAGCAGGGTCTCTCCGATATGGAGATTCTCTTCGAGTACCTTGAGGTGTTTGGCTGCCTGGATCGCGTCTCTTTCTCGCTCTCTCTAGCTCGTGGTCTGGATTACTACACTGGTATCATCTACGAGGTCCGCGTGCCGGAATCTGCCCCGCCTGTCGCACCTGCGGACGGTGAGGGTGGCGCGAAGAAGAAGAAGAGCAAGAGCAAGAACACCGAGGATGCGTCTGAGAGCGTCGGTGTCGGCAGTGTGGCGGCCGGTGGCAGGTGAGCGGAATCAAAGCCTTCCGGGTTGACCCCAGACTGACTGATGGCACAGATATGACAACCTTGTCGGCATGTTCTCTGGCAAGAAGCAAGTCCCTTGTGTCGGTATCTCGTTCGGCATTGAGCGTATTTTCAGGTTTGTCTCTCATTCTTGGATCAACGAGGTGGTCGTCTGACAAAGGAACAGCTTGATGAAGGCCAGGATGGCGGCAGAGAATGAGGCTGCCCCCAGCACTGTCGATGTCTATGTCATGGCGCTTGGATCCAAGGCCGGCCTGGTCAAGGAGCGCCTTCGCGTCAGTGCCCAGCTCTGGGATGCTGGCGTCAAGGTATGACTGGTTCACTCATATTTTTAAGGCCTTTCACTGACTCCGGAACAGACCGAGTTCCTGTACAAGGTGAAGCCTAAGCTGCCACCGCAATTCAAGGCGGCCGAGTCCAACCAGGCGCCCTTTGCGGTCATTCTCGGTGACGACGAGATCGAGAAGGGCGTTGTCAAGATCAAGGAGCTCGGCCTGCCCGAGGGCCACCCCCACAAGGATGGCGAGCTGGTGGACATGAAGAACTTGGTGCCCGAGGTGCAGAAGCGCCTGGCACGGAAGCGCGAGCTCGACGAGATCTCCCGCAAGGCCGGAGGTCTCAAGGTCGTTGGTGGTCTGCGTGGGGAGGATATCGACAAGGCGGAAGCCAAGAAGGAGGAGCCCGCGGCCGAGGCTGCTGCTCCCGCGGCTGCTGCTGCTACCGAGGAAGTGAAGCCCGCGGAGGCGCAGTAGGCTTTGCGCGGCAAAGCAATATGATACACAAATCAAAATTTATATCTCTTTGTTTAAGCCTTGCCGATCTGCAGTCACCAGCTCGCAGGGCTGCATGATAAGGTTAACCGGATCAGCTGTCTCGGTTTTCGCTTCGCTTTATCAAGCAAGACAGAAGGCAGCCAACTGGTTAGATTTCGAATCTCCTGAATGCCGATTGTCCTAGATGAGGTTCCTTCCAGATGCTAGGATATTTTGGGCCACTAACTGGCCATTCAGAGACTCGATAACAGCCGATAGAAAAGCACAATGCAAACGTGACGCATCAACGTCCACCCCCAGTGATTGCAAAGACATCCTAGTTACTCGTTGATATCAGCTTCCGGTCGAGGCCGCAACTATACACGTACCTTCGGCAGGGTTACATGTCCCGAGTTACAGTGGCCCTGCCCTAGACTGGGGAATTCGAAGCTGCACCCCGTATCCCGGCGAGCCGAATAAAGTAAATCTCTGATCGGCTCTCGCAACTGGCGCCAGATTCTATCATCGGTCCCATTTCGGATTTAGGCCACGAACATAGTTGCAAGACATGATATTACCTCGATGCGAGTTTGGCACCTTAGAAGCCAGTAGCCTTGCCATATCCAAAACCTGCAAGGCCCTCACAATCTGTGTTGGTGACAAATAGACATCGGTCATTCTCGCGCCACTATTTGATTCTCTTGTATACAGCTCGCCTCCTGGGGTCCCGTAATGAACCGCAGGACAATTGTGCGTCAACACATCGACTTTTCGCGATGGACATCATAGAGATCTTTGAGGGACCCGGCAATACATGTTGTCCTTGGAGCACTTAAAACTGTAGAGGGCCGTGCACAAGCGAATCTCCGGGCATGAGAGATGTGTTTCGATCCACGAGTGCGCTGAGATACCACACAATGAACGGGCTTTCCCCATTGATGTATCATCCTCCGCAGGCGAAATATAAGCAGGCTCATGTCTTTCTGACCTCGCCATGTACGTTGAGTCGGCGACCGGACCGGCGCACGCTCCGGATGCGGGAACTGGTCTGCGCACCATCCTGTCCAGAAAACCCACGAGAATTCGAAATATCCACCACCAAGAAAGTCGAGAAACAAATCATCTGATCCAGCGCAAACCGCGCCATCACGACTCAAAGCAGGCCATGTTGCGAGTCAGAAGGCTGACCCGGCGGCAACGTTTCGTAGTCCGTGTCCCTACTAGCCAAGCCGGCTGGCCCTCACGACCGTGACTCGCAAATGGTTCGCGCGAGTTGAACCAGCGGCCCCAGAAGCCCAAGCCCGCGGCCCGCCCTACAGCCAAGAGCGGGCGCGAGTCTGGCGATCACCCGCGTACGCGTGGTGCCTCGGGCTGAATGACTGTTATTATTTCACAGCAGGGTTGCGCTTTGACTACGAGAATGGGTGGCGGCCGCAGCTCGTCTAAAAGATGAGCGTTGCTACGCCATCATCGGAATTTCGGGTGCGTGGTGGTGGGCGTCGCGCCCGTCATCTCCTGCACGACGAGTTGAAACACGCTGTGGCCCTTGGCGGGCGATGGCAGCTGAACCAGAAGACATGTGGCACAGAAGCAGTTAGGAGCACACGGGCGGTTGCTGATCAGATTGCTTTTTCTTTGCTTTCTGGAGACGGCTAAACGGTGAACCTGAAATTCGTAATCCGATTCGAATCCCAACTCAGGTGTCTCGACTCATACGATATTACGCAGGCTTCTTTTGCCATCGTTCTTCTTGCGTTCGGCCTGTGAGGGTCTCGATCCCGGAGCATGAAATAGATCGCCTAGATAGGCATGTCGAATTGTTCCGCTGCTCACGACTACCCAGAGGAAGACCACGACCAGAGAGAAGATGGTCCCCAGAACCTTAAAAAATGCTGACGGGATCTCCTGTGCGAAAGTTGTGGTTGCTGTTGAGTAGACACCTAGGGGGAAGGTGAATCCCCACCAACCAAGGTTGAAAGGAAACCTGTTGCGGGTGATGGAGGCAACTGCAAAAAACAGCCATACGAGGCCAAATCCCCACAGTATGAAAGCTGCGAAAAAGCCGAGGGAGTAAAAGACCTGACCAGCAACCGCAGCATCGGGCAGGAATTTAACATCGTTCGTAAGCCTCATCGTCTCTTTGCCTAACCTCATGATGCCGAATGCGCCCTGGCCTAGGGGGCCGAGGGGTAGGAAGACAGAGACGATTACCTCCCGCGGTGGTAATTTACACATCGTGAGGCGCTCAAAATAGATTACCATCGTAAAAAGGGCAAGTGGCACACCGCAGCCCCAAAGAATGTAGCTTGTGATGATAGTAATGATAGCATGGTGACTGGGCAGCACAGACGCTACAATGCTGCCCGTAGCTGCTGCAACTATCGTTGGAACGATAGGCAGTAGCCATGCCGCGGTCATGGTTTCTAGGTGGGCCTATTCGAGGTCAGTCTGTGGAACCGGCTTGTGTGAGTGTCCTTTTCATTCGCCTACCTCATGTTTGTACATGATGATAAAGGGGAGATAGAAGCATGTCCCGACAGCCCCTACAACATCAATCCACCAAAGAGCCCAGGCTAGAGTTGCGAATTTTGTACCCCAAGCCGGAACGCAGACAAAGACGATCATATTGATGATAGTCGCCAAGCCCATCGGGCAAGTCCCTAAAAAGAGCGACTGAACCGGATGCCGTATCATGCAGCCCCATACGCCGGGGAACACCGTGTATCGAAGTACGGAGATGATGAAGAAGAGGATGAAGAGAACAACGTTCAGGCAGAATATAACGACGGAGATCCAATATAGCCACTCCGCGTTGTAGGGTAGGTTGTGAAGTAGGATGGACACAACCCCGGTGCCCATGTTGACGCTGAACCATGATGGTTCAAAATACAGAATCACACGCCTCCAGGGCCTTTGGTTGCCTTTCAGACGCGAATATTCGGCCACGGCGTCCTTGCGAGCACCCCGGGTGGTCGTGGTTGCATCGGCTCCTTCGTCGTGGCTCGTTGATGGACGACTCTGATGAAGACGGTCGGCAGCGGGAGCAGATGGATCCATGACGGACCAGAGGATGCGACCCTGCAAAGGAATCACTCACGAACAATGGCTGTGGAGGGTCGTTGAAGGTGCCATCCGTCACCATGTCCGATGCTTGAGGTTCATCAGCCGTCGTCTGTAGTCGTGCTGCCTCTCACTAGGTCGGGTTTGCGTTCAAGCTAACCCGGACGCGTCAGACTGATTGACGTCAGGAAGCGGACCCATTACTTTGTCCAGAAAGGCATTCCAACGGAATGGATATTGTTGGATGGATGGAACAGAACTACAGTCCCAGGCGAATCGTCGTACCATTCCCGGCTATGTAGATGTAGCTGTAGTCACATTGGAGCCGAAAGCGGCCCTGCCCGCGATGCACGAGGTTAAGTTGCCATTGACATGCGACTCCGGGGTTGCGAGTGGTCTGGTAGTCACGTGCTCCACAGGTTTGCTGCAGTCAATTGAGCAGTGCTCTTTGTGAGCAGTGGTTTTCCCGGTGGTGAAAGCAACAGGGTGAGCGAGTCAAGCGAGATCTGCGTGGAGCGGCAACCGAATCTCGTCCTGTCCTCCGAGTTGACCGAACGACGCCTGTTGAACGCCTCCATTCTAGCTGCCGATTGACTTTGATTGACAGGGTCATCAGGACGGCGCTTTGACGTGAGAGCGCAAGCGGATGACTGATTATGAGCTGCAGAGTGCAGACGATTAGGTTCCATCGCCAGACAAGACAGCTTGAGCTTGACACGGTGACGAGGTCAAGGCGACGCTCCTACTCTGGCAGGGCTGGCCATGCAGCAGGTGCAGGATCCTACGCTGATTTTTCGTCCGAACGCCGTAAGAGACGCAAGAGAGCGGCGCGAATGCCTTAGATGGGCTCCGGGCCCCAAGGTCGACCGAGGACACAGACGTGGAAGAGGTTCGAGCGTGCATGTGGACTCTGCCAGAACCACGAGATGCAACGGCAATGACGCCTTCCCATCTGTGCGTACTGTAGCGGCGCTGGGCCCAAGGCCTCACGCAGCAACACTGTTTCGTTTCAGAAAAGGATGCCGCTGTGGCCCCCCTCACTTTTGCCCATGGAGCCAGCAGGACCCTGGAAGGCCTGGAGGGGAAGTGGGCTCTCGCGCCATTTTCAATCTGTTCTTGCTTCTTTGTGTTGAAGGTGCCCTGAGGTGACTGGACAAAGGAGGTAGGGTTGTAGGATGCTATCGTCAAGACAAGGGTCGACTCTCCGGAAAAAAGACTGGCTGTGGATCACAACCTACCGTCGACCGAGTGTTTGCAGAACGTTTTAGGTGTCTGAGGAAGAAGACGGAAGCTTGTTGCTTTTCTGCTGGGACGGATGCGTCGAGGAACAGAAATGTCGTGTCGTTAGACTTGTTCCAAGGACACCCGATGCTTTTTCCAGCGCAATTCTGCGAAGCGAGACTGCGGGCTCACCCTCTTTGACTTGTCGACAGATGGGTCTTGAGAAGGAAGTTACCTGAGCCCTGAGGGTCAAATCATGCTGGCGTGTAGTACAGAGCTGCCGGGAGGCAAATTCAGGGTCGCGCTAAGGATACAACATGGGCGGTGATGTCTCGATTGACCATGGGCGATGGATGGCTGAGACTTCTCTCTTCAAGGTGAGGGCTGGGAATAGAGGCAAGCGAGCCCGCAACGCAAGGACCACAGGTTGGCCGACTACGAGGATCTGATGCAAGGGCTACCAACATGGAGGCAAGGATCTTTCTTGCTCTCTTCCCCCCCCCTCGCCCATCGTTCCTTCCCCCCACTGCCAGCCCGCTGGTCGTACCTGCTTCTGCCATCCAGATGACTGCACTGCAGGTTGGGCAGAAGTCGGGAGCACCCTGTACTGCCCCAAGTGCCCGCCACTGCCCCCTTGACAAGTGATGGGCGGGCGGCGACGAGTAGGAACTTCATCCGGACTCCCTCGCTGCATGGCCGTGATGCACTTCACATTTTCATCCCACCACCACCATCCAAAGAGCCAGCCTTTAGCTCTCCCCTTTTCAACCTTTTCATCTTTCTTGGGTACACGGTCACGGCCACAGCCACGGCCACATGCACTGCCCGTCTCGAACAGCAGCCAGACAATGGTCGAGCGGCTGGTGCCTGACTTGACCGTGGCCCGCACCACGGCGCCGGGAGGCCCAAGCCACGATCACCATAATGCTCGAGCGGCCAATTTACAGCAACATCCATCTCTCCCGCATGCCCACTAATTTATCCCCTCTATGCCACGAGTATTTGGGATCTGGCCCGGCGGCGGACGCCATAGAACCCCAGCAGCATTGACCATACAAAGTTCCGCCATCAAAAATATGGTATGCCCTGCGGTCATGCTAAGCTGGAGACCCTGTCATATCACAACCCACTCGCTTGGCATGGTACTCAGGTAACAGTCAAGAGAAAGAAAAAAAAAACTCCTCGTGGATCTATCTATCCCTGCCCCCTGGTAGTCTGCCCCCTGTCTTGGTCCGGCCTGGACGGCACACTGGCAAAACTGGGGAGGGCACACTGGGAGCTTGACAACAGCTTGGACCTTGGATCGCCTCTCGCCCCACCACCTCCTTGTCATTCTGCGCTCAGTCCACCACCTAACACACAGACAGATTACGACACGAGCTGATAATGGGCCTCATAAGATGGAAAGACACAGGAGTCAGAGGGGGTGGGAGCACGGAAGACTCGTACTTGAGGGAGCGCCACCCGTCCAAGGGAAACATCCAGCCCTCAATTGTTCAATCGTCTTGTTTCTGGTCTATCGAGCGCATCGCAATCCTTCCTTCACCTCAACTCGCATCGCACTCAACTTACTCACCCAAGTCACCTCATTCATCGTCATTGGTTTGGCCCAGCGCGTGTCCGCTGCCTCCCTGCTTCCACTTGCCTGTCGAGCTGTGGGTTTTGGTCCAGCTGCCCTTAGCTCCCAACCTCCAGACCAGCTTTCAATCACCCCCTTTCCACGCTCCAGCACGTCTCAATAATACGCCCTCCGCCACTCTCGCCTCATCGAGCTATCGAGGAGGAGATCTTCAATAACCTGTAATCCGCTCGAGCTTAAAATTGCCAGTCGCCTGTCGTCTATCGATAGCCTTTCAGCTCCATCCCAACCAGCAATTTACCCAATACCACGTCAACACACGTCCCAGGGAGAAGAGCACCTCACATTTGACACCCCTGTCGACGATCTTTTCGATCACAGCGGCACTCAAAATTACCACCCCAGCCGCCTCAGCACAAATCTTCAGACGACTTCGAGACCCCCAGCCCACACCTCCGCCAGCGGTCAGCGGACCAGTGTTTGATCTCTCGACGGCATCTACGGCCTTCCGAGACGCTGCGACAATCACTCTGCTCTTTCGCTTGACCTCCCCTCCGTCCCCGAACCAACTAACACCACCATCCACTCTTTTCTGCCTCGACAGACAGCAGTCTCGACTCGCTCCAGCTTATTGTCTTGTCCAACCTCGAACACCTTCCCATTGGCGTGGTTCAGCTTGTGCGCAACCCAACGTCGGCAACGTGCATTACCTCAGACATTAAGAGGTCACCTCGCCTCACTTATCATCCACCGAACCCACACTCTCATCTCTGGTCTACTCAACCCTTCAAGCCGCTCACCATGCCTGGACTCATACCTTTGATGCTCCATGCGCCCGGCGCTGCTTCACGTCGCAGCATTCTCCTCAGTCCCGGCAGCAGCGCTTTCCCTCTCTCATCGCCGCCTCCCACGCAAACCACCCTCAAGAGAATGGGCTCACTCGACGCCGCCGCTGCCAGGCCCAAAGCCCGCAGCCCGAAGCGCCTGTCTCTTCAAGCTCCCGCAAGCTTGCCTGTTCTTCCCTACACCGCAGCGGACTGGAACAAGGCTGTGGCCGAAGTCAAGCGCCACTACAGCAACCGTCAGTACCGCGCCTGCTCGGCACGGTGCTGCGAGATACTTGACAACTTTAAGGATCAGGCAAATGTTGAGCCGACATACCTCATCTACCTCCACTTCTACGCTGCCACCTCTGTGGAAATGCTCGCTCGCCCTCTCAACACGTCGTCACCCTACCGTGTGAAGCTACTGAACCAGGCGCGTGCTCATTACGCCCGTGCTGCTGAGCTCATCCAGACTGCCGACGAGACCATCTCTACCTACTCACGCCCATCATCGGCCGCCACCACTGCCCCGAGCCTGCACTCGCCCTCTTGCTCTATCTCCTCTCGCAGCTCCACAGAACTTTCCTCGCCCACGGCTTCCATCTGTTCACTCGAGGATGCCATGGCCAAACTCGCCAACACCCCCGCACCTCTGCAGACGAAGAAGCGCGTCACTTTTATTGACGATCTGGAACCGATGATCCAGGAACCCTTCATTCGTCCCGACTCTCCAACGCTTGGCTTTGACGACCTTCGTAGCAGCCCTGTGGACGGGTCTCGCTACCTTCCATCGCTTCAGGAGGTCCCCGAGTCGAAGCTCCCCGCCGCCATAGCTGTGGCTCCGTCGGCCTCAGCACCGACACCGGAGCCACCAATCGAGGACAGCGAGGGGAATGACTACGGCTACCTCCGTGAGCGTTCTATTCACCGATATTGCGCTCTGCTAGTTGCCCTTCGGTCTCAAATCGCCTCTCACCTGGCTGCCGTCGATGCTCAGCTGGCTCCTCAGGCCTCCACGATAGCAAACCACCGTCTCAGCTTCAGCGTATCAACGCGGGCTGCCACTCCTGATGTGGATGATGAGATGCGGGCTCTGGACCTCAAGGCACGCATCGAGCGCCTGCGAGCCTCAGGATGGAAGCGGCAGCGCTTTAACCCTCGCAGGTACGAGGAGCTCCGTGAAAGCGTCCTCGCCGAGATGGCTTGAACGCTACAACATGCATGACATTTACTTTCACTACTTTCGTTGATACCATTTTCCACTCGCGCGAGTCGCGAGGACGCAGACTACGTTTCTCATACACGAGCATGTATATACGAAGAACAACAATTTTACGCACGAAACCGGGAAAGGACTAGGTGGTCCAGGATCGGTCGGAGTTTTCCGGGTTATGCATCCATTAATTTCTTAGTTTATTTTTGGGAACGAGGAACACGGGCGGATCATGATGCAATTTATAAAACGGAAGGAGGCGGTAGTCCAGCTGTACAGATATGCCCCCCTCGCCTTGGCGAGGATGCGGAGGCCGAAGCCAATCGCTCGGCTCCAGACGACGATGATTTGAAGACGCAGAGATACCAAATTAGCAGCACTGGCTGAATTTCGATGATGATATTCCAAGATTATTCACACGCATATTTATATGAATCATGGCGCGATTCCCGTGATGGAGCCTCGGTGCTGTTACAAGGCGATGCAACACAAAACAGAAGATCAAACAAGTTGGAAAAAAGAAGTCCAGAGGCCATCTGCTTTTGACACAACAGAACCGCTAAGCTAGAGTCATCATCCTGTCAACTTGCTGCACATCTGTCCATCCGTCTGCTCGCCTGACCATTCATTATTCCGTTGTGGCAATTTCCCTGTTGGTAGACGTGACGACTTGTCTCGAAGAGCCGGGAAGGAGGGAAAAAACAACAGGCGCACGGGACCAGAAACCGTCGACGTTTGGAAATTACCCCGCCATGCCGAAGCATGAGCCTCATCACGCACGTATTCCATCATTTCCCTCCCCCTTTTCTCTCCGTCTCTGTCTCTCTGTCTTCCCCGCACACCTACATCGAGGAGAGAGGGTCAAAGCAGGGACCGATAAAAAAAGAAGACGACAAAAAAAGCCAAAAAAAAAGGCACTACACCGCGACCCGCACCATGGATGGCACTCTCGCCCGTTGCCCGCGTGTTCGGGAAACACGGGGGTAGGAGACCGGTACCTGTCTCGTATCATCTGCTACAGCTTCCCGCGTCCTAGCCGTGGAAGCTGCGTCTCTTGTGTTCCTTCTCTGCCTCCTCTTTGACCGTGAGGGTCTCCTGCTGCTGCTTCATCTCGCGCACCTTGGCGAAGACGACCTCGCGGAAGATGGCTCCCTTGACGGCTTTGGAGAGCGCCTTCTTGTCTTGGGACAGTGTTGTGTGCTTGGCAAAGTCCTCGTCGCGGAAGTCCGTGTCGTCGGGGTCGTCTTCCTGCAGCTTGAGCGACTCGATGCGGTTGGCGAGCTTGACCATCTCGATGCCACGGCGCAGCCTGGCCTTGGCCATGTAAGCCTTGATCTCGGGCAGCAGGTTGTGGTCGGTGGCGCTGTCGCCGCTGAGCCAGGCGTGGCTGAGGGCCTCCTCGCTCGTCCAGCGCTTCTCGGGCTCGGGCTGCAAAAGGTGGAGGATGAAGTCCTTGGCGTCCTGGCTGACATCCTTCCAGTAGCGCTCGTGGAAGACGACCTGGGCGGAGCTGCACTCGTCAATCAGGTCCTGGAGGTTCTCTGAACGGAACGGCGAGTATCCGCAGAGAAGGGTGTATGTGATGACGCCCATGGACCACATGTCGACCGGCTTGCCGTGGCCACGCTTGAGCATGACTTCTGGGGCAGCGTATCCGAACGAACCCGCCATTGTCGTCAAGACCTCGTCCTTGCGATCCAGCATCTTGGCAATGCCAAAGTCGGCTAGAACAATCTCCGAGTCACTGTCGCGGCTGCGATAGAGAAGATTCTCAGGCTTGAGGTCTGTCAGGGGTTGTCAGCTGGTTTGAGCGACATTTGGACAGCATCTCGAATCTCCATACCTCGGTGGACGACACTGTTCATGTGGAGGTAGTTAACGGCGTCCAAGACCTGCTTGATAGTCTGTGATGCGTCCTTCTCCGTGAACTTTCCCTGTTCGCAGATTCGGTCGAAAAGCTCGCCACCAGTAGCCAGCTCGGTGATGATATAGTACTTGTCCTATATGGAGCGTCAGATAGGCTGCGCATCGACCCGCCGTCGGGAATAAAAAAAAAGCAGTCGACTCACGCGAGACTCGAACCAGTCGACAAACTTGACAATGTGGGGGTGCTTGAGGCGTTGCAGCATTTCCAACTCGTCGTAGACCATCCGCTCGTTGCCCTTGACATTCTTCTTGAGGATGATCTTGACGGCGACCTTGCCCGTCGGGCCGTCAGCCTCGCGGACGATACCATAGGTACCCGCGCCCAGGGTTCGACCGAAACGGTATTTGGCCCTAGACATAGCGCATTCGTTAGGACTGAGTCGTCGCAACGATGGCGGGGGGAGGGTGTCGCACTTCTTGTCGTAGCTTTCGGGCTGGCCCTGGAGGCGGCTGAGCATGTTGGAAACTGCGGGGTGAGGTATCGCGGTTAGCTTGTGCGACATGACTGAGCCACGCCGAGGGGAGAAGTCGGAGGGGCAGAGACGCTCGGCAAAGATGCGAGCAGCGCACCAGCCATTGCACGGGAGGGAAGAAGCGGCTTACAACTCATGATTGGCTTGGCGGGAGAGGTGTTCGTGATGCGTCGAGGCCCAACAAGGTTGGCAGGCAGAAGGGGGGAGGAGGGGGGAGGAGCTCAGGACGAGCAAAACAGAGTGCGATATGTTCAACACCACGTGCTGTATAGACACAATAAGAACGTGCTGCAAAAAGAAAGACCGATGACAGCCAGGTCGGAGCTCGGGCAGGAAGGATAATCGGGGGCTGAAGGAACGCACGAGTTGTTGGACAGCCTGGTTGAGTGGGATCTTCGAAGCTGACGATGTGGGGTAATTGTCGTCCCAGTGGCCAGATGCCGGGAAGTGATCAGAGACGAATGTGGATACACGTACGAACGGCGTGAATCTGGACTCGATAAGCGCAAGGCGAAGCCTAGCGAACAGACGCAGAGACGAAGCAGGGTCTCGCTTCTTCTTAAACAGAGTTCAAGGTCAGCGATGTAACAGTCAGCCGACGGTCAAGAGAGCCTCGCCGCCAAAAGCCCGTGAAGATGCACTGGGGAGTGAGCAGAGAAGGCTCGACCCTCAGCCGCAGAAACGAGGGGCAGAGGCCATCAGAGACGACGGCAGGATTGGAGGAGGAGCGACCGGTCATCACCGTAGTGGGGTTGCGTCGGGGGTGACGACGCTTGTGAGAGGTTGACGGAAGGCCCCTGAGCCCGGGCGGGGTTGGTCAGTGGCCTTGGGGCGTAGACGTCAGGGTGCCGTATGTGGCGGAGGATTGCCGTCCTGCCGCTAACGGCCTGGGGCCTTCAGGGCGGGAAGCATGCTGCTGGGGGGGCCTCCATAAGGCTGGATCAGAGGCGGATCAGGACGCATCCCACTACGAGGCAGGCCTACGGGCAAATCTGTCCACCAGCGGGATGGTACGTCGTCATCGCAGCGGCATGTGGTCGAGTGGGTTCCCACATGCCGCCGACGAAGACCACTGGATCTGATTAAAGTCAACTATTGATGTTTACGAATGCCTACCTACTTTCAAAGAGCTTGCATCGCTATGAGATGAGCAGCCAAGCAGCCAAGTAGCGAGTACGCAAAAAATTACCTAGATGGGCCCTTGCAAATGGATTGGAGAAAGGTGATGGATTTGCGTCGCGGCTGAAAAAGACAAGCCGCAAACGACCACAGCACTCGACTTCACACGCTGTCAACTTTACCACCTCTGAGAATCATGTGGGATTTTTTTTCCATTCAAGAATAGCATCAGGACACAATACGTACTTGGTATGCACTCACACTCAGTCTTAGTGTTCAACATTAGCCGCACAGGCAGCCAAAGCACATGAATCCTTGACTGCACTTTCCGTTGGGTACTTACCTAGGTACCTCCTCTAGGTTCCATATGGTAGCAAGGAGGTAGGTAGGGTGATCTGAGGGGTGCCTTTCAAAAAAGCTTGCCCGCCAGCCTGTGCATCGTTTGGGGATCCATCTGAACCAAGCGTCACTTCGGTCCTGGAGCCACACTGACAGTAGCGACCTTGTCCACTCAGAGGCACCTAAGGCCCACTAGGCATCCATCCCACTCGACCCCTCCATCGCCTCCCTGTCCCATCTGAAATGCATTCACTGCGACTCGAGCCGCCGCCCTCCGGTCTTCTCTCACCCAAAAATTACTTCCTCGCCCAGACAAATCAGCCATTCGGTAGGCTTTCATCATGTCGGTGAGCTTTGCCTCGAAGAGGCTTGCCAAAGAACTCAATAAGGTTCATTCCACGCGCTCTTCCCTATCTTGCGGACGTCTTCTAACCCTCTCTTGCTGTGCAGCTGAACAATGGTCTGCCGCCTGGCATCGAGCTGATCTCGGCGGACAATTTTGAGGAGTGGTTCATGGACATAAGAGTACTGGACGACAACCCGATATACCGCGACCAGATCTACAGACTCAAATTCAAGTTCTCTCCTCAATACCCAATCGGTGGGCAGCCCCTTCTACCTCGGAAAACCCTGGCGAGCTCCCGTTCCGACCTGATTGCTCATGTTCTGGCAGAACCTCCCGAGGTCACATTTTCGAAGACCACCGACCGACCCATCCCCCTACACCCTCACATCTACTCGAACGGCATCATATGCCTGGATCTTCTGGGATCTCAGGGCTGGAGCCCGGTGCAGAACGTCGAGACGATCTGCATGAGCCTGCAGAGCATGCTCACGGGCAACTCAAAGGCTGAGCGACCGCCGGGCGACGAGGACTTTGTACGAAGCAACAGGCAGCGCCCACGAGACATCGACTTTTACTATCACGATAACACAGTGTAGGTGCCGGAGAGCGTCACAAAGTTAAAGGTGATACGGTTAGCCTCGAGTCAGAGCAGCAAACTGTGTTCTGATGAGGTGGCGAGTATTTGCATGGAATCACCCACATGACGTGGAACCACTCGGTTGACCACCGATGGCTGTGCGGTGAAAGTTATTACTTAGGAGTTTGGGCTAGCGGGCATTACTTTGATTTATTAGCTGGTACTGCTCCTTTGCGACATGGAAGGTCGGCTATCGTGGAGCACAGCATGCATCAACAGTGACGAGGAATAGGCGACGGGCCGTCAGCGAACAGCCTTCCATCAGGCTCAGCAGGGACGGCCTCTGCGAAAGCTTTGCTCAGCAAGCTCTAGAGTGTCAAATGGAACCCCCCAAAATGATATCACTGGACGCCTTGAATCAGAAGCTAGTTTGCTGGCAAATCGCGACAGGCTTTGTTTGACTGGTGTTTTCGCGGCGAAATGTCCCAAGTCTGGGCGCCAGGGACACATCCGAGATGGATCCCCCAATTCCCCGCCAGCCGTGCATGCCCCGCTGACGCAGCCGCTTGCCAGTGGTGGTCCTCCCCAGCGCGGACCCAATTTCGTGACAACCACTGGCCGATCGAACCCGGAAGCTTGGAGATCTCCGTCGTCACTCCTGCATCTCGTACTTCAAGTTCCCAAGCTCCGATTAGCTCCCTCACCACACCTCACCTCGTGGGCAGCCCAGCATGGCCCCGAGAGTCAGTTTCGATACCGACCAGATCAGGGACAAAGCCCGAAAAGACCTGCTCAACTTGCTAGAGGGAGTAAGTAAGGCATTCCCATCCTCATCAGCATCAATGTTGGGCTAATCGAGTGTGCTTGCGACCAGGTCCGCGGCAAGCTCAATCTCGTCCTCGAGCGCAGCCTGGCCGGCCCCATCGGCGCCATCGTGAAAGTTGCGACGCTTCAAGAGTACGGAGTCGACAAGTTCTTCTTCCTGGAGAACGACAACGCAGATACCAGCCAGCGCAATGTCGTCTTCATAGCGAGGGGTGAATGCGCCCGTAGTGCGCCCAAGATAGCAGGTCAGTTGGCTCAAGCCCCATGTCTTGGTATAACCCAGCCTCGGATGATCCCTGCCCGTCTTCTGTTCCTCAGATAGCGATGTGGCGACAGGTTGTTGACGATGACCAGCTCACATCAGACGACTCCAACGCGAAAGCCAGACAGGTCATGACTTTCACATCTTTTGGGTCCCGCGGCGAACTCTCGTTTCAGACAAGCAGCTCGAAGAGGCTGGTGTCTTGGGAGATGTCAACATATTCGAGCTGCCTCTTCACTTCTTCCCGCTGGAAAGAGATGTTCTCTCACTCGAACTTGATGAATCCTTTACCGACCTCTACCTGAACAAAGACATGACGCCGTCGTTTCTCATGGCGAAAGCGTTGATGGAGATCCAACAAAACCACGGACTTTTCCCTCGAATCATCGGCAAGGGCGACAACGCGAAACGTGTGGCCGACCTGCTGGCGCGCATGCGACAGGAAGTACTGGCTGGCGACGATGCGGTTCAAGTCCAACGAGATGGCGGGTTGGCCCCGAGCACGACGATCGAAAGTGCCATCATAATCGACCGCGAAGTCGACTTTGCCACACCACTTCTCACCCAATTGACATACGAGGGCCTCATTGACGAACTATTCGGCATTCAGAACAATCAGGCAGAGGTCGACACGACCGTCGTTGGTGCACCAGCTCAATCCACCGCAGCCAGTGCGCAGACACGCAAGCGGAAGATACAGCTGGATTCCTCAGATAAACAGTTCGAACAGCTTCGCGACAAGAATTTTGCCATTGTTGGCAATTTGCTTGGCCAGCAAGCTCGCCGGCTTCAAACCGTGCAGAAGGACTACGAAGGCCGGAACAACCAAAAGTCGATCGCCGAGCTAAAGGACTTCGTCAACAAGCTACCCGCATATCAGCAAGAACACCAGAGCCTGCGAATTCACACAGGCCTGGCTGAAGAGATTGTCAAGTACACGAGAACGGATCAATTCAAGGGCCTCCTAGAAGTCCAGCAAAACCTGGCAGCAGGAGCGGATCCATCCTCGCAATTTGACGCCATCGAGGAGCTGATTGCTCGCGACACACCATTACCGGAAGTCCTTAGATTGCTCTGTATCTACTCGTGCATCTCTGGAGGCGTTAAACCCAAAGAATACGACCAGTTCCGACGACTCATTCTCCAGGGATACGGGTACCAGCATATCATGACACTCAACAAGCTCGAGAAGCTCCAACTATTCCTCTCACGATCGTCGCCATTGGCTGGAATGATTGGAAGTTCTGGCGATAAGACAAATTACTCCTATCTGCGGCGCCTCCTGCGACTCATTGTCGACGAGGTTCAGGAAGACGACCCGAATGACATTGCCTACGTGTACAGCGGATACGCGCCGCTCTCCATTCGACTTGTCCAATGCGTGCTGCAGAAGCAGCATCTTCTCACGGTCACCAAAGGCAATGGCTTCACAGGATCCAATAGTGCGTCGGCAGCCCAAGGTTGGCATGGTTTTGACGAGGCAGTCAAACATGTCCGCGGCCAGACTTTCTACAATGTCCAGAAAGGGGAGGACAAGGCCGTCAAAGCCCGCGCACTTCTTTCAGGCGGTAACGAGAAGCAAACGGTCTTCATTGTGTTCGTCGGAGGTATCACGTTCACCGAAATCGCTGCATTGAGATTCATCGCGAAGCAGGAGGAAGGTAAGTCGAATCCCATACGTTGCTTCAGTTGGACATCCGGACGGTACGCTGACGTATTTGACAACAGCTCGGAGAAACATCGTCATCTGTGCCACCTCGATCATTAGCGGGAATAGGATGATGGATGCTGCGATTGAAACACAGTCATATGCGAAGGATATCAAACCCATCACCCAAGCGCAATCATAGATGGGTATGTCATGTCTTCAAAGAACGTTGTGAAGGGGGAGATCGTGTATCATCTATTTTCAGCGTCGTTCTCAGCATCTTCAGCGCAAGTCCCATGAATTGCAAAATAGGCCCTTGTTGGGAGCTCCGAGATTGGTCGCGCTTCAGCGCCTTGTGTGAAACTTTTCGAGTCCATGACAGTTGGAAAGAAACTATGCGGATCATGCAAAGCTAGAATGCTGTAGTGAATTGCCAACCGGACATGAACAAGAGGAATGTTAGAGGTGCTTAGCCTAATGGAACTTGGGGCGACGTCCCGCTGAAGACGATCCAGCACGGGTAGTGAAAAAATGCACGTGACCCGCTGTTTCGGCTCTACAGCGGAGTCTGGAACCACGCCAGCGGGCTCAACACCATCAGGAGTGGTCTTACGGGTTTATATCTACATGCATCGACTTGCAAGAATAGCTGCGGCTCCGAAATATACCATCGAGTGAAGAACTCAATACGAGGCATTCGCTCCCACACTCTCTCAGCCTCTGAACCGGCTGGTTGGGGCCTCGCCACGCTCTTCAAGCAGCTGCATCCTCGCCTCACCCCGGACTCGGCTCAATTGGTACGACAAAGGAACCTCATATATTGGCTCTCAGGAGTGAGATTTCCCTCTTACCACGGAACTAATATGTCTACTCAGAACATCTCATCTATCATCTGATGCGCGATGATGATATCGGCCCCGACTGCCCGCCTACGTTCCGCTCTCTGATGGCAGTAAGGTCGAGAACCCCTGCTCTTGCGACATCCGATTTCCAGATACCACTCCTATATATCCACCCAAGACCAGCCCAATCGTCCCACCGGCCGACTATACGATGAGAACAAGTCCCAGGTCGAGGGACAAGCTGGGAATTGGGTCTGGGAAGGAACTATTTACCCCGTCAGGGTTCCTTAACTCACATATGTTGCATTCGTCACCACATTCAAAGACTGCCAAGACTTCATTCTCGATATCGCCTTTGAGAGATCCCACATCTTCAGCAAGCAGTCAAATCTCGCTCGAAGCCATGTCAGAAATCGCTTCTGAGATCGTCGTCCACGGCGAAGACATGGATGTTGACGACTCGATGAATGATACCTCGATGGCCACATCAGCTGTGGCCTCACCAGCAGAGTACGTATTATCTACTGACCTACACTTCAACCCCTTGCTGTCAGCTGCATCCATAGTTGTCTGTTGAGATTCATTACTTAGCACCTCTGACCTCACCCAGATTCTCAGGCAACGAAGACATGGCAGAACCCTCGCCTCACCGCGACATTCTTCAGACGAACCGCAACTCTTTAGAGTCCCCAATGTCACATACGTCGGAACAATCCGAACTGTCCTCTCTGCTGTCATCCGTCTCTAGTAAGGCTACGACTCCCGTCGACCTTGACGCAGCTCGGGAGCCCGCTCTCTCATCAGCACGACATTCACAACCTCGCCAGGTGCCGAGACGCACGTACGACATTGAGCCCAAGTCTTCTGTTCCGGCGGGCCTGGACGACATCACGTACGCTGCTGAATGTATACGCGCCGTTGAGGCTTCGAGACTGGATCCATTCTCATTACACCAAGGAGAATACCAGCTCCTGCGCCAGCACATTACCCACAACCAAGTGACTACATACCTGAATGTCAGGAACGGCATTGTACGACTATGGTACCACAATCCACGTGTGCCCGTTACGCGGGAACAAGCAATTGGATGTGCCAGTGTGCGATGGTTCGACGTCGCCAGCGTCTGCTATGATTGGTTAGTGCGCAATGGATTCATCAACTTTGGATGTGTCGAGTTCCCGACGGTAGATGAAGAGAAAGAAGAAGAACCACCGACAACGAAGCAAAAAACGATTGTCGTCATCGGAGGCGGCATGTCCGGCCTGGGCTGCGCGAGGCAGTTGGAGAATCTGGCGAAACAATACAAGGATCAATTTCGAGAACTGGGCGAATTGCCGCCCAAAGTTGTCGTTCTGGAAGGACGCACTAGGGTCGGCGGTCGTGTGTACTCACGAGCCTTCACGACAAAGCCTACCTTGTCGGTGCCTGGGTTCCCCGGCGAAAGGTACACCGCTGAGATGGGCGGTATGATTATTACAGGCTTCGAGCGCGGCAATCCGATCAATGTCCTCCTGCGCGGCCAATTGGGCCTCCACTATCGAGCGTTGCGACCAGAGACGACTATTTACGATTCGAACGGTCGGCCTGTGGACCCATTGAGGGACGACCTGGTTGAGAAACTCTACAACGACTGTCTCGATCGAGTCAGCGAATACAAGCATCACAACCAGCCTTCCAAACTTATTAGAGGCAATCATGATTATATCGAGCACGGGCGCGACAGCGGAACCGATGGAAGCAAAACAATTGCCGAGTCTGAAGAAGCAGCAGCAGCGCTGCCGCACGCAGCGCCCGTCTCGCAACAGAACGTTCCGGAACGAGTAAACCGTGTGCCGGTATCTGCAGACAAGCTGACTGGTCGAATCCACACCGAGCCGGGCACTCCAGCTACCAGCAAAGCCTCAGAGAAGGCGAAAGAGATGGGATGGACGCTGAAAAACAACATTACACCAGAGGCCAATATTGATCTCGACGACGCGGCGGCCCGGCCTGATGCCACCCTCGGCTCTGTCCTTGACGAGGCCATCGGGCAGTATCGCAACCTTGTCGACCTGACGGCTCAAGATCATCGGCTCATCAACTGGCACGTCGCCAACCTAGAGTATAGCAACGCTACGAGCTTGCATAATTTGAGCCTGGGCAATTGGGACATTGATGCGGGCAATGAATGGGAAGGCAAGCATACTATGGTCGCCGGTGGATACCAGACGGTCCCGCGTGGCTTAGCCTTGTGCCCCACGCCACTCGACTTGAAGACCAATGCTCCCGTTCACAAGATCAAGTACAGCAGCGAAGGCGGTTTGAAGCGATCACTTGTCGAATGTGAGGACGGCACCGTCGTTGAAGCCGACTACGTTGTCTCAACCATACCGCTTGGAGTCTTGAAGCAGGGCAGCGTCGAGTTCGACCCGCCTCTGCCAGGATGGAAGACTGATGTCATTGAGCGCATTGGATTTGGTGTCCTCAACAAGGTGATCCTTGTGTATGATAAACCCTTCTGGGATACCGAAAGACACATATTTGGCGTCTTGCGAGACGCACCGAACCGGCACAGTGTTGCTCAGAGCGACTACGCCTCACAACGCGGACGGTTTTTCCAGTGGTTCAACGTTACCCAAACGACCGGTCTACCATGCCTTGTGGCCCTCATGGCAGGCGTTGCAGGCTTCGACACTGAGCGAGAAAGTAATGAGGATCTCGTCAAGGAAGCCACTGGCATACTCCGAGGCGTTTTCGGCCGCAAGGTTCCCTTCCCTGTCGAGGCGGTCATTACCCGATGGGGTTCCGATAAGTTCAGCAGAGGCAGCTACTCGTCTTCAGGGCCCGGTATGCATCCTCATGATTACGATGTCATGGCCAAACCTGTTGGCAACCTGTACTTTGCAGGGGAGCACACCATCGGAACGCACCCGGCGACGGTACACGGCGCTTACATGTCTGGACTGCGGGCGGCCTCGGAAGTCTTTGACGCGATGCTGGGCCCTATCGATATCCCCTCGCCACTCGTTCTTTCAAAGAACAGCGCGGTCCTCAAACGCAAAAGCCCGGTCGAAGTCTACGACCCCGAGCGCGTGCGCCGCGACGCTCACGAGGCAGCGGTCTGGGACTACATCATCAGCACCATCGGTGAGCGGCCCATCCCGCCTGGCAAGGTGGCTGCCAACGCATACGTTCTCTACAACAAGGCATTCTTCGACGAGGCGCGGAAAAGATGCGAGAAGGAGCGCTCCGGCAAGAAGAAGGTCAGCCCCAACGATGTCAGAGTCATGACGTCCAAGATGTGGAGGGCAGCCTCGGCCGAGGAGCGCAAGCCGTTTGAGGAGGACGCCGTCAAGGCCAAGGCCGCGCACGCGCTGGCTGTGCAAGAGTACAACGACGGCTCTGTTCGGTGGGATGAGGCCGCCATCAACTTGCGGGCAGAGTACGAGGAAGAGCACGATTTGGCTGGTTCCGCGACGCTTACCGCCGATGGAAAGCATCGTCGCACGAGTAAGCCTGTGGACTATGCGGAGGACGACGAGAGCGTGTCTGAGTAGAAACTGAGAGGAGGGGCGGGTGCTGTTTTACAGGCGTAGTCAGAGCCCAAGTGCGGTGCAGATGAGCAGTTGTGGCTCCGGCCGAGCGGCGATACGGTGTTACGGAAATATCGGCACATACCCTTTTGGCATTTCGCCGCGGCGCGAGGTGAACAGATTCTAAGGACCGCAACAGGGCGATTGGCTTCTCGTGTTTTTTTTTTGGTGGCCTGGACCTCACTATACAGTAAAGTCCTCACAATACAGACTCGCACATACACAAACATTCATCTCATTCACGCGAAATATTATATGCGGCGCTGGTTTTTGTTTTCAAACGTGACCGTCTCATCTCTAGGTCAAGGGTTTATTGGGAAGGCTTTGGTACACCGAGGCATGGGTGGCCATCGTTCGAGAGCTTGATACAAAGGGAAGAGGTATGGTATTCTCCGACGCGATGCATTTCGCAGATTACATGTCCTCCGAGGCCGTCGCACCAGTGATAATCTCAACCAGCTCGCCCGTAATGACGGCTTGGCGAGTACGGTTGTAGAGAATCTGGAACTTGCTGATCATCTCGCCGGCGTTCTTGGAAGCATTCTGTCGTGTGTCAGTCACTTGGATCATCTCAAAAAAAAAAAAAAAATCTATGAATCTACTCACGTCCATGGCGTTGCGACGGGCGGACTGCTCGCAGGCGTGGCCCTCGGCCAGAGCCCAGAAGAGGGAGTTGGCAAGGGCGTACTCGCGGAGGTTGGGGAGAAGCTCCTCGTCAACCTCGAAGGAGGAGAAGTTGGCTATAGAAACAACACATTAGCACACGGGTCCTTGGTGTCGATTCTCACTGCGTCGAAAGCTTACCGGAGGCAGTGATGGCCTCGACGTCAAAGGCATCAATGGTAGCGGGCTCGTAGCTCTGAGCGTTAATGAACTTGTTGTAGACAATCTTGACGTTCGAGTACTCGGTGGGGAGCTGGACGATCTGGTCGGCAATGGCGGCGGCGTCACCGAAAGTAGGAACGTCCTTGCCAACACCGGCGAAGTTGAGAACGATGTTCTTGCCGTTGGTGCGCTGGAGCTGGGACCTGCACTTCTCGCCGATGATGACCATGTCGAAGGGGCCAGCGTCGGGAGTGGTGCGGCGGATGTAACGGGACAGACCAGAGTGAATACCACCACAGAGACCCTTGTCGGAGGAGCAGACGACGATGAGCTCCTTCTTGCCCTCACCCTCGGTGGGCTTGGTCTCGGCCGACTCGAAAACCTGGTTGGAGGTCTCACCGTAGGCACGGGAGTCGTTCATGGAGCGCTGGGCGCGAGTGAGCTTGGTGGAAGCAACAATCTTCATCGTGTTGGTGATCTTCTCGATGTTGCGAATGGACTTGAGACGGCCCTCGATCTCACGAAGAGTGGCATAGGTGGCGGCGGTGCTGGGGGTGCTCGCGGCGACGCTGCATCCGAGTCGTCAGCATCATTGTTCCATCGCATCTCGATTCCTGCGACGTCTCCAGCTCTTCCGAGCCATCTTTCGCTGTCCAATCGACGGGCGCGAGGTCGCGTTGTCCTCCCAAGACTCTGCCAGACTTCTTCCAAGGACCGAGCCACTTACCGAGGAGCCGCAACAGCAGCTCGCAGAGCTGGCCTTGCCGCGCGGGAGAGCATTATGGAAGATGAAGGGGGTGAAAGGGACCTTGCACCGGAGGAAGCTTCAATTGACCGCGGATCGTCTAGAAGGCCAATTGACAGGCTGGGGCGAGTGCTTGATGGGCTGTCGATGGGGTTGAGAGGCTATTTTCAACCGGCAACGGGCGAGCAGCCAATGTCGGACTTTCCCGGCTAGCCGGGTTTGGCAGGAATCGAGTCACGTGAGGCTGTGGACCAGACACTGGACACTCTGACTGAACAAGAGGAGCCAAGCAAGCCAAGGAGGGAACAGGAATACGGCGCGAGGCTCCACCCACCTGCCACCTCAGCCGCCCGGGCGTATTGTTCCTACCTTAACTCCCAGGGCCGCCCCATCTAAATCGTCAAGCCAAAGCTGCCCTTCCCTCAGTCTGGCCCTTCATCTTCTTCCTCTATTCGTGACGGCCCTGCAGATCCTATCCCTCCTGCAAACCATCTAGCGTGGGGCTGGAAGTGCGGAGTGGTCGAAGTTACCATCTTTTTTTGCCTTCAAACCTTCAATTCTCGTCAATCGACCATTCGACAAACTGCTACTGCGAACCGCATCGACAGCTTACAGCAACCGCGCCGCCGCGATTTTCTCACCGAGTCCGAACTCCATAATACCACCCACTAGTGTCGAGCCAGCAACCCCACGGGCTCGCATCAGCCATGGCTACCAGCTCCGACGATGATATGCCTCTGGCGAGGTCCAACGGTCATGGTAAGTTTTTTCTGAATTTGCTGTTCTGGCGCATGCATCCCTCTCATTGCGCCTTCCGCTCTCTACAACCCCCCCAAGCCTTGTTGACGTGTCACTCACCTTGGGGTGACTTGACGCGCCTTCTTCGAGACGACTTTTCTTCCCTTTCCACTTATCCAGGTTCTGACAGACACTCGATAGTCTCCGCTTCCAAAATCTCTAGAGCTGAAGACAAGGCCATGGACGCCACCGATTCCAAGATGAAGCCAGCACCGGCCGGCATCTCTGTGCGCAATGGTCCCGTTGTCGACGACATGGATCTCTCACCTGCCCAAGACGGACTCGCCAAGCGGAAGGCACGCACCTCAATCACTAAGATCAACTACCATGATGGTTCAGATAGTGATGATGACAAGCCACTGGTAGGTTACCGCAGGTCTGCAGGTGTCTCGAGAGGCGAGACTAACCACGCATGCAGGCAAAACGCCAGAAGACCAAGTCGAAAACGAAACAGGAGTCCGATTCCGACGATGATGTGCCCATCATGAGGAAGAGGGCCAAGATGCCCCCATCATACAAGGAAACTGCCCTCCCCGAGTCCGACTCTGACGATGATCAACCACTGAGCGTGAAGCTCGCTGCGAAGAAGGCAAGCATCGAAGAGGACGCCGCGAAGGAGGCCAGAGCCATTCGGGCACAGGAGAGCAAAGCCAAGAAGCCTGCTGCAAAGAAGACCATCAAGGATGATTCCGATGACGAGCCTCTCGCAAAGCCTAGACGCCAGTCCAACGGTGTGGGTGCCGCCAAAAAGCGCGTCGTCAAGGACGAGTCCGACTCTGACAAGCCCATTGCTAAGAAGGCTAAGAAGGCTACGCCTGTGAAGACGCCGGCCAAGGGTACGAAGACAAAGGCCGTCACGCCAGCGAAAAAGGGCAGGCCCGCCAAAAAGGAAGAGAGCGAGGAGGCCGAGGAAGACGAGGCTGTGGATGAGTGGTGGAACGAGCCAAAGAAAGAAGATGACAGTGTCAAGTGGACCACACTCGAGCATAATGGCGTGTTGATGGACTACAAGTACGAGCCGCTTCCAAAGAACGTCAAGCTCGTCTACGACGGCAAGCCACTCAATCTCCCTCTCCAAGTCGAGGAAGCTGCATGGTTCTTCGGATCCATGTTCCACTCCAAGAACAATGTGGACAACCCTACGTTCCAGAAGAACTTCTTTGAGGATTTCCGCGAGGTCATCAAGGAGCATGGCCCGGCGACAGACAAGGATGGCAAAAAGGTTGATATCAAGGACTTCCACAAAATCAACTGGCAGCCCATGGCCGACTACGCTGAACAGCAAAGTGCCATGAGGAAGAACCGAACCAAGGAGGAGAAGAAGCAGATCAAGGAGGAAAAAGACGCGCGGGAGGAACCGTTCAAATACTGCCTCTGGGATGGTCGCAAAGAGAAGATGGGCAACTTCCGCGTCGAGCCTCCCAGTCTTTTCCGTGGGCGTGGCGACCACCCGAAGACGGGTAGAATCAAGAAGCAAGTTTTCCCGGAGCAGATCACCATCAACATTGGCAAGGACGCAAAGATTCCCAAGCCTCCTGATGGTCACAAGTGGAAGGCTGTCGTACACGACAACAAGGCTACGTGGCTCGCGTCATGGCAGGAAAACATCAACGGCGCGTACAAGTACGTCATGACGGGCTCCAGTAGCTCCGTCAAGGGCAAGTCAGATCACATGAAGTTCGAAAAGGCGCGCGAGTTGAAGAAGCACATCGACAGAATTCGCCGCGACTACGGCAAGGACCTCAAGAGTGAGACGATGGCTGACAGGCAGCGCGCTACCGCCATGTATTTGATCGACAAGTTCGCGCTTCGAGCCGGTAACGAAAAGAATGCCGAGGAAGAGGCTGAGACTGTCGGCTGCTGCTCTCTCAAGTTTGAGCACGTCACCCTCAAGGAGCCCAACACTGTCGTCTTCGACTTCTTGGGTAAAGACAGTATCCGTTTCTTTGACGAGTTTACTGTTGAACGCCAGGTCTTCAAGAACCTCAAGATCTTCAAGAAGCCTCCCAAGGGTGAGGGTGATGACATCTTTGACCGCTTGACCACGACGCAGCTGAACAAACACTTGAAGAGCTACATGGATGGTCTCACTGCCAAGGTGTTCCGTACCTACAACGCCTCCTTCACCATGTCGCGGCTGCTCCAAGAGCTCCCCGTGGAGAAGGCCACGATTGCAGAGAAGGTGAAGCTCTACAACGACTGCAATCGCAAAGTCGCCATCCTCTGTAACCACAAGCGGACTGTTGGTGCCGGTCATCAGGCCCAGATGGAAAAGCTTGGAGACCGCATCAAAGGTCTGAAGTACCAGCAGTGGCGTACTAAGATGATGATCCTTGACGTCGACCCCAAGCAGAAGAAGAAGCTCGGAGTGGATTTCTTCAAGCTTGACGAGGAGCTCGATAACGAGTGGATCGAGGAGCATTTGAATTTCCTTTACGAGGAGCAGCGAACGAAGATCACCAAGAAGTTTGAAAAGGACAACGAGAAGCTTGTTGCCGAAGGTTCCAAGAAGCTACCCGAAAAGGAGCTTAAGGAGCGTCTCAAGGCTGCCTCGGAACTGCTCGCGAAGCTCAAGAAGGAGCACAAGACAAAGAAGGTCGAAGCCGAAGGCAGAAGCCCCACCGTGGAGAAACTCTTGGAGGGGGCGAAGAAGATTGAGGAGCGCGCCAAGAACCTGGAACTTCAAGCCCAGGACCGTGACGGCAACAAGGAGGTTGCCCTGGGTACCAGTAAGCTGGTGAGTCATGATGCCACCCAAGCGGTGTTCTGTAGCATGCTAACCTATCTCAGAACTACATCGATCCACGCCTCACGGTTGTGTTCTCACGAAAGTTTGACGTGCCTATCGAGAAGTTCTTCTCGAAGACTATGCGCGAGAAATTCAACTGGGCCATTCAGTCGGTGGATGACGACACGTGGGAATTCTAGGCGGCACTGTTCGACCAGCGCGACCTGAAGCGAAACAGCAGCTTGCTGTGTCGTTCTGTATACAATACATTCGAATTGCCAGGGAGAGGCTGGTGCTGCTGCGACCTTCTTTGCCAAAAGTAGCCTGGCCATCAGAGCCCCGGCTAGGTGCCTGGCAGGTTGTCTCAAAAGCTATGATCGAAGGGGGAGGCCGGCATTCTGGTGGCATTTTCTTTGCTTATGGTGCTAGGGGACTTGGTTGGGAGGCCGTCTGAGGATGACATTCGCGCAACGATGGGCGTTGCTTGTTGTTTGCGCTGGGGGGAAGGCGGAGAGGCCTACAATGCCGTCGATGTATAAGACTTGGACACCGACCAATTAGCAAGTCAACAAATGAATAAATTAACAGATCAAATCGTATGCAGGAGCGTGCACTTTTTTCTCCCGTGCTTGTCTTATGTTATGTGCCACTTTCACAGCCGCACAAAGACATCTGGTCAGCCAAGTAAGCAAGTATGAAGGCATGCGAGTTGTGATGAAAATGACAGTAGGATTGTATCCACGAAGTCTGGGAAAGGAACGTAGAGTAACTGGTATCTTTGGGGAAATATATTCCTCTAATGCTTCGTGGCCCATTTTCAAAAAAAGGACACACATCTATGGGTTCTCGAATTCCAGGGCCGCTCAGGCTGTCGCTATGCTAAAATGATGATCCAATGCGCTTCATGCATGCCCCCCCTCGCATCTCTTCCTCATCTCCATCGTCGTAACGTCTCGTTTTCCCATTCCAAAGCATAAAAATAAGTTGATATCGTTTGGTCGTACACAAAAAAAGGCCTCCCCTTCTTTCCCGTTTTTTTTTTCTCTCTCAAAATCGGAAGGGAGAGGCTTCACCTCCTGACGACAGCCACGACGCCGGCGAAGAAGGACAGGGCCAGGAGCAGCACGTGCGGGCGCAGCGAGGCGCCGGCGCCAATGGCGCGCAGCTTGCCCTCCTCGGTGATGCGCCAGCCCTCGGGCACGGAGCCGCCGTTGGGCCTGTCGGCGGCGTCCCAGGGCCAGCCGGTCTGCTGGGCGGTGGCCTCGTCGGTGCCGATGCCGCCGGGGGGCACGGTGGGGGCGGGCCCGCCCGTCTCGGCGGCGGCGGTGGCGGTGACGGCGACCTGGTCGGCGTTGCCCTCGTTGGCGTTGACGGTGCCGCCGACGGCCTCGATGGACTGCCAGCTGCCCGAGTGTCGGTGTACTTGTACTGCTTGCCGGTGGAGTAGTCGATGACCTTGAGGTCGCGGACGACCATGCTGAAGGGGCCCTGGGCGAAGTCGGTGGGACCCTTGGCCCAGGCGATGGTGCCGGGGGCGTTGGCCGGGTCGCCGCCGGACCAGGCGCCGAAGCGGACCTGCATCGGGGACTGGGGGTACTGGTTGTCGTCGGCGTCGGCGGGGGTCAGGGTGCGGACGAGGGTGCCGTCGACGTAGAACTCGGTGCGGTCCTTGGTCCAGTCGAAGACGTAGGTGAGGAACTCGTCCTGGTTGTTCTTGTCCATCTTGTGGAACTGGCCGCGGTTGTAGGACGTGACCTGGCCCTTGCCAAAGTAGTTGGTCTGGACCTCGTGCGGGTCGGCGCCGAGCCACTCAAAGTCGATCTCGTCGAGCGTGTCGGACTGGAGGACGAGGGAGGAGACGATGCCGGCGCCGGGGGCCGCCTTGAGTGTGATCTCGACGCGGCCGAACATGATGTAGAAGAGCGACATGAGCTGCGGGGCCTGGCCCGAGGCGGCGACGGTGAAGCTGGCGCCGTCGCGGCCGTAGGTCGGCGAGCCGGCTTCGATAAAGGTGTCGACGGCGCCGTTGGCAAAGTCGACGTCAATGGCCATGCCGAGCGCCGTGTTAGGTTCGCATGCTACGCGGGGGAATTGTCAGTGATGGATGTCTCGGGGCGGGTGGGTCAGCAGGCAGGTGGAGAGCATACTTGTTGTCAGAGGGTTACAATCCGTCCATGTCTGGGCCGCTGTCAATGTTGAGAATGCTGCTGCCGCTGCCGCTGCCAAGGTTGCGGGGCTCCTTGTTCTTGCGAAGAACATTTTTTGTGTCTGTGTCTGTGTGTGCGCTGGAGAGAGGTGAAGGGACGCCGGAACCGAAACAATATTTCGTACAGAACAGGCGAGCAGATGGCGAGGTTGGAGAAGGTGCCTCGCTTGAGCCCAGATGGTATGTACTCAGTGAGGCTTGTCGATGATGTTCAGTCAGCCTCGGGCGAAGGAGGTTGCCTCTGTATCGATATGTCTCTTGTGACGGTAGACAAGGAGACAATAGGGTGAGCAGGTGGTAAAGTGACTGGTATGGTACAACTGGGACAAGAGTCCGTCCAAGGGCGGACGCGGCGGCATGGCAATCTATATGGGAGACGTTCCCAGCCTGCAAGTTCAAGGATGTGGCGACCCAATCGACGGGACGGTGGGGCCCAAACGCAGTGTCGAGCACCTCGAGATCTTGGAAACCGCTTGGCCGTGCAAGTCCCAGCCGGCGGGCCAGGGAATACGAAGCTGAAGCCGGGCCAGCGTGGGCAGTTTTCAGGGTCCTGTTGTCGTATCAACGACATGGGGGGAGATTTGGGGGAGGTTGGGACAAGCGCTGGAGGAGCCTGAAGAGCAGAATGGCGCGTGCTGATTGGCCGTAGCGTGGCTGAAAATGTGTGGCTGGAGGAATCAAGGTGGCTGGCATGACGAGCTGCTTGGCGCAGCGACGTACGTCTCTTTCCTCTCACTCGCCTCGATTCGTAGTCAATGCCTTCTAAAATATGCGGTCATTGGATCCATCGTCATGAAACGGAGATTTCGAGGTCCGACGACGTGTTTCGCTCTTGCTCTCGAGCTGTCCTGTACGTGTTCGTGGCTCAACCAGGTCGACTGATAAAACCTTTGATAAAAACGATAAAAAGGTATCCACTTCTCCAGTATTCCCCAGCACTACCCACATCACTACACCAACTCGACCAACGAGCAAGCGGCCGGCTTCTTGCATCATCGGGCAGCTTCAGCAAAAGGAAGACGAACAGCGTGCAAGACGCAGGAAAGCAATTCTGATGCAATCGAAAGCCCAATACCCCACAGCACGCACACCTTCCCCTCGCACCGTTCCCAGGCCGACTTTCCTCCTTCAGGTGCTTGTCGTAGCTTCCCAACTCACTGGGCGCGTGACGTCGAACGAGAGCCGCAACTGCCCGCCGGTGCCAAAAGCAACGCGGCTCCTGCCCTGCCCTAGAACGTCACCCGGACGCTGTACAGGGCGCTGTGCGGCGCCGGCCCAGGGCGTCCCTCCAGGGCGTTCCTCCAGGGCGCTGCCAAAGGGCGTGCTCTGGCACGGGAAGAAGGGGTGGGGGGGGAGGGAAGGAGGTCACAGTGCAGGACCCCTGAAACCTCAGCGAATCATAGCGCCTCTATGCGTCCAGAATGACATGGGTAGCTGCGGGTACCAGCGGAAATGCCCCGCCAATCCACCTGCCCGCCCTGTCATCCGCTGGTCGAGCTTGCCTCCCCCTCCTTATCTCGAGTCACGATGTGTAAGAGGTTCGATGGATGGGGAAGGACAATGAAACCGCCCTCCCTACACCTCACTCCCTCAGCTTCAACGCTACGAACGCTACGCACTAGAGTTCAACGCTACACAGTCGGATCGAGATCAGCAACGGCAATACAAAACCCATACCATCCCCGGCGACCGCTTTCACAATGGGTCACCTTGCAACCCAACGTGCTTTACGCCTGCGGAACATCACAGCCATGTCCGCCATAGCTTGCCAGACCGCACCAGTCGGACTCATATCCAGACGATCATTCCATGCCAAGCCAAAGCTCAACTCGGCCGGTGAGGCCGCGCCGGTGCAGCAAGATGCCGTGCTCGAGAACAAGCAACCGATATCCGTCTTCGACAGCATCCGGGAGCGGCGGGCCAAGGCTGGCAAGCTCGTCGCCGGCGTGGCTGCCGTCTCTGACAGTGACATGTTCAAGGCGCCATCTCATGACAAGCCGGAGGCCAAACGATGGGACCGTAAGAAAGCCGGTGCTCGAGTCTCTGGCCCCCGACTCTCGCTGACCAAGAGGCCGTAGACCACCTGAGCCACGAAGCCGCGGTGCGCAAGCCATGCACCCTGAAGCAAGCCGCTCGTTTCCTCAAGACGCCAGGTCTCATCTCCCTCGGCGGCGGCTTGCCGTCGAGCGAGTATTTCCCCTTTTCAGAGATCACCATGCGTGTGCCCACGCCACCAGACTTCGCTGAGAAAGACAATCTCTCGGCACAAAGTCCCACGGCACAGACCATTAGCATAGGCAAGTATGATGTGCGCGACGGCAAGTCGGAATACGACCTGTCCATCGCCCTCAACTATGGCCAGTCTACGGGCTCCGCTCAGATGATGCGCTTCGTCACAGAACACACCGAACTGGTCTACAACCCACCGTACGCAGACTGGAAGGTGTGTCAGACAGTCGGCAGCACCGGCGCCCTCGAGCAGGCCTTGCGCATGCTCTGCGACCGCGACAGGGGTGACTCGGTCCTCACCGAGGAGTACAGCTTCTCGACCGCCCTCGAAACCATCGGCCCCCTGGGCATCAAGACCTTTGGCGTCAAGATGGACGCCGAGGGCCTGCTGCCCGAGAGCATGGACGAGCTCCTGACATCGTGGGACGAGAAGGCGCGCGGCGCCCGCAAGCCGCATGTTCTGTACACTGTTCCTTCAGGCCAGAACCCCACCGGTGCCACCCAGGGACCTGAGCGTCGCCGCGCCGTCTACGCTGTGTGTCAGAAGCACGATGTGTACATCATCGAGGATGAACCCTACTACTTCCTGCAGATGCAGCCTTATGCCGGCAAGGATGCGCCGGTGCCGCCACCACCGGCGAGTGTTGACCAGTTCCTCGCCGACCTGGTCCCCTCGCTGCTAAGCATGGACACGGACGGCCGCGTCTTGCGGATGGACTCCTTCTCCAAGGTACTGGTGCCAGGCTCACGACTCGGATGGATCACAGCGTCGGCGCAGATGGTGGAGCGATATATCCGCCACGCCGAGGTCGCCAACCAGGGCCCGAGCGGCTTCTCACAGGTCATGCTGTGGAAGCTGCTGGACGAGACGTGGGGCCACGAGGGCTACCTGAAGTGGCTGATCGACTTGAGGATGAACTATACGCGGCGCCGCAACATGCTGCTCGCCGCCTGCGAGGACCACTTGCCGAAGGATATTGTATCTTGGACCCCGCCTGCCGCGGGCATGTTCGTAAGTTGCCTACGGCCCGTCCACCACCTGGGGGGGGTTTTTTTTTCTTTTTTTTTTTTGACACTAACCGGCTTGCAGCTCTGGCTCAAGGTCGACCATACCAAGCACCCCGACTACCCGCAGCGTTCATTGCTGGATATTGAGGAAGACATCTTCAACAAGGCCATTGGAAACGGCGTTCTCTGTGCGCGGGGCTCCTGGTTCCGTACTGAGCCTGGCACGCCTGCGAAGGACATGTTCTTCCGGGCGACCTTTGCGAGCGCATCGGAGGAGGCCATGAGCACAGCTATCCAGAGACTGGGGGCGGCGATTCAAACGTCGTACCGCATCGACTGAGGTGAATTGAGGACGGGAAAACACCATGTCATTACCCTGGTTAGAGGAGCATCAGAGGCCAAAGACATGAGATTCAGTAAGGCATGGGGACTGCGCTGCGGGTTGGAGTTGGGCCTGATTTTTTGACTGAACGAATATACTTCATAATCTCCAGCGAATCTCAATGGCATGATAACTTTCTTAATCAACGACTGTCTGATGAGTTGAGTACCTTGTTCAGGGCGACAGACGAGGAATAGGGGACAGTCACGTGCCCTCCCGAAGGCACATAGGGTACCCGATGCTTGGTCGCCCCTCCACAGTGCAACTCACTGCCCGTCTGACTCACACACGGTCCCCGCCAAAAGATCAATCGCATATGCCAGAAACACCCCTCTTCTGCCGGGGACGCGCGAAAACTGCCCCTCACTTTCAGCGACTCGATCTACCGAGACAAAATCCAGATCCCCGGCACCCACCCACGTCAGCAAGAAACCCGGAAAGAAAAAAAAATCAGCCATGCTCGACGCCCTGGACTTCATTGCCGAACGCGGCGGCGACCCCGAGAAGATCAGGGAGAGCCAGCGCCAGCGTGGCGACCCGGTAGAGCTCGTCGACGAGGTTATTGCGCTGTGGCAGGAGGCGCGCAGCGGTTCGTCATGGCTTTTGTTGACATCTTTTTTTGGCATGCCTCGTTTTGGCATGCCTCTTTTTGGCATGCGTTCTTCGGCACGTCGGCTCCAGTTGGACTGACAGGTCTACAGAACAGTACAAGGTCACCCAGTTCAACGCTCAAATCGGCGCCGTCCAGAAGGAGATTGGCCAGCGAAGGAAGAACAAGGTCGACGATGCTGACCTGCAGGTGAAGAAGACGGACCTGCAGAAGCAGCAGAAGGACCAGGAGGCCGCTGCGGCTGAGAAGCAAAAGGGTGCGTTTCTCTCTCCCTCGACGTTGGCCTCCTTTGACATGACGGAGTCACCAAAAGTCCAAGACTGACCCGCGCCCGCAGAGCTGCGCAACAAGACGAGAATCATCGGCAACTACGTCCACGAGTCCGTCCCCATCAGCAATACCGAGGATGACAACAAGGTGATCCGCACCTGGAAGCCCGAGGGCCGCGAGCTGAAGCCCTTTGCCGCCGCCGTTTCGCATCACGACGTCCTGCTGAAGCTCGGCGGTTACGATCCCACGCGCGGCGTCAAGCTTGTCGGCCACCGCGGATACTGCCTGACGGGCATGGGCTACTTCCTGTAAGGACCATGGGCCGCACGCACCTCTGTCTGGGTTCTCGTTCTCACACGCATGTAGGAACCAGGCTCTCGTCAGCTACGGTATCGAGTTCCTCTTCAACAAGGGTAAAGACCCAGCCCCCTTTCTCATGGTCTTTTCAGTAAGAAATACAGACTAAGCGCCCTCCGCAGGCTACACCCCCAACCAGCCCCCCTACTTCCTCGACCGCGACCAGATGGCCAAGACGGCCCAGCTCTCCCAGTTCGACGAGGAGCTGTACCGCGTCTCCGAGGGCAAGAGCACCGACGGCTCGGCCGACAAGTACCTCATCGCGACGAGTGAGCAGCCGCTCTCGTGCCTGCACGCCGACGAGTGGCTGCAGCCCGGCCAGCTGCCGATCAAGTACGCCGGCTTCAGCACGTGCTTCCGCAAGGAGGCCGGCAACCACGGCCGCGACGCCTGGGGCGTCTTCCGCGTCCACCAGTTTGAAAAGGTCGAGCAGTTTGTCCTCTGCAAGCCCGAGGACAGCTGGAAGTTCTTCGACGAGATGATCGCCACCTCGGAGGAGTTCTACAAGTCCCTCGGCCTGCCCTACCAGGTCGTCAGCATTGTGTCCGGCGCCCTGAACAACTCTGCCGTACGTGCCCGTCTGCGCTCGGCGACGAATGCCCCCTTCGCACATGGAACCCCCGCTAACCCCCGTCCAGGCCAAAAAGTTCGACCTCGAGGCCTACTTCCCCTTCCAGGGCGAGTACAAGGAGCTCGTCTCGTGCTCCAACTGCACCGACTACCAGACGCGCGAGCTCGAGATCCGCTACGGCGTCAAGAAGGCCAAGGAGGCCCCCGGCAGCGGCAAGAAGGAATACGTCCACGCCCTCAACGCCACCCTCACCGCCGCCGAGCGCACCCTCTGCTGCGTCCTCGAGAACTACCAGACCGCCGAGGGCCTCAACGTCCCCGAGGTGCTGCGCAAGTACATCCCCGGCCAGCCCGAGTTCATCCCCTTTCAGAAGTGAGTGGGGGCGCCCTCGTCCCGTTCGTGGAAGGGTAGGCGGATGATGATGCAAAAGAAAAAAAGCAGCGGAGGCAAAATGACACGGCTAGAAGGAGCATCTGTGTTAGATTTGAGCGACTGAACAGACATGTCTTGTGTGACGTTCAAGAATTGATGACTACCCAACACACATTTCGTTCTCTTTGCATCAGCCCACACCAGCTTCGCTTTTCACAGCGCGTGACGGCCCAGCAGGTGTTTGCTCATGTAAACATTCAGTGAACAGTTCAAGCTCGTAGCGTGGCTAGTCAAAATACAAAGAGGACCCATCACGAAGTTCCCGAATCTCACGCCTTCTTGGCTTCCCAAAAGGCAACATTGACGCCCTGGCCCGGCTGCAGCACAATATCCGACTTGAGACAAGGTTTGCCACCGTCCACATTGTCCATGTAGCTCTCGACCCGCTCGTACCGCTGGAACAGGCGGCACAGCACATAACTCATCTCCGTCAGGGCAAACTGCTGTCCGATGCAGATGCGCGGCCCGCCGTTGAAGGGAATGTAGGTCCACGGCTTCGGCTGCCAGTGCTGCCAACGCTCTGGTGAGAAGACATTATGGGGGGCGAATGTAGCCGAGGGGGGCGGGTAGATGTCTGCACGGCGCTGCATGACGAGAGTAGAATAGGCGATGGGTGTGTCCTTCAAAACAGGCAGGGGCAAAGAGCCGTCAGGACCACCGCCGCGCGGAAGCGTCGTGTCGCGGAGCGCGAGACGCACGTTGTAAGGCACGGCGGGGTAGAGGCGGAGCGTCTCATTCACGACGTTCTGCAGGTACCTCATGCTCTTCATGTCTGCATAGGTTGGCTCGCGGTCGGGCCCGACGTGCTGGAGGATCTCGTCGCGAAGCTTGCGGACGAGCTCGGGCTGGCGGGACAGCTCGTAAACAGCCCACGACAAGGTGCAGGCTGTGGTGTCACGTCCAGCAAGCAGCACGGCAACGAGCTGATCGCGAATGGCTGTGCGGTCTTGTGTGTAACTGGCGAGCTCGTGCAGGAAAGTGAAGTCCTTGTCAGATTTGGTCTTGGAAGAGAGCTCCTCGGGGCTCAGCCGCAGAGCAAGGTCGATGTACTGATTGACAAAGTTGTTGATGATACGAAGGCCGCGGCGGAAGGAGCCACGGGGAACGAAGTTGCGAAGTCCATTAGAACGGGTAATGATGCTCTGGACCCGTTGGACTTCATTGAAGGCCTCTGCAAAGTCTTGGCGGGGGGTTCTGGATCATTGTCAGTCTGTGGGGGTCTGGCTCGTGGCTGCAGGGGATACACTCACGACATGGACTTGACATCTTTGCCCAGAAGGAATTCGGTTGCAACGTCAAGGGTATAACGGAAGAACATGTCGGCAATGTCGAGAACCTTGCCATTGCCGGCCTCGAGGTGGACAGGCTGGTCCTCGCCATTCAGTGCTCCACCGTTGGCAATGGCCTTGAATAGCGTCTGGACGTGGGATTCGAAGCAGTGCAAGTCACTGACACGGTCGCGAATGAACTGAGGACGGAGGAGTTGCCGGCTCGTGTGCCACTGGTCGCCATCAGTGGTGAAGATGCTGTCACCGAGGAACTCGCTCCATTCGGCGTGGAACGGCTCGCCCTTGCCAAAGTCGTTGAACTGGGTGGCAAGAAGGGCCTTGATGTTCTCAGGGTCGGCCGTGGAGAGGATGCGTTGACCGAGCACACGTGTCTCGCCGGTGTAGCAGTCAATCTCCCGGAATTTGGTGGTCCAGAATTCCAGGTTGGTATGTGCCATGTTATTCTTGATAGCAGCATAGACGAAGCGAAGGCCAAAGGGAAAGGTCGAGCCATAGGCCTTGCCCGAGGTGTAAGGGGCAAGGCGACGGAGGCGAATATACTCATCGATGCGGCCGAGGACGACCCAGAGAATGGTAGCAAATCCGAGAAGGGCGGCAACGGTCTTTGTGGAAATGTTGTCCACGACAAACTCAACGAGACCCATGGTGGAGGGTTGATCGAGGTTCAAATCTGACAAAGACGATCCGAGTATGGCGGTGAACGGTGGTGGTGGCACGTGGTGGTGTCACGGTTGGTGGATCTCAACGGGTCCTGAGTCGAAGAGAGGCGGCGCTCGCTCTAAGCCTGGACCATGAAACTATTACGCTTTTGCTTGCAAGTGACAGCAAATGGCGTTGCTGAAGGGAGGACCGAAGAGGGACTTCAGCTCAATACCTTGAATTCCAAGATGAGGTTTGTGAGAAGAAATAGTCAGGGAAGACAGCAGGGTATACTGGTCATGAGGTAGCGACAAAGGAAGAGGGAAGCAGCTCGATCTTTAATAGGTATAACGGCCGGGCCTCTCGAAGCTGGCGTCCCAGATTCAAACTCGTGTGGCAAGCTTGTGGGCGGATCTTGGAGGCGTGCGTTGGTGCGGGAAACGGCCCCTCCCCCACTTGATGCTTGGTCCTGCTGGCTTGGACCGTTTTGGCGGGGAAGACCAGGGTCAACACGGGGTCGCGATGTTGGAGATATCCCGAAGGTCCTTTCCCAGGTCGGGGCTTGATCCTGACATTGACATGCCGGGTGGATCGACGTACTTGTAGAGGTCGAGTCGTTTCTGCCAGCCACAAACGGAAGCTGATGCGAAGCTACGAGACTTCATAGGTTCGTAAACGGCGGGTGGAAGGCTGTGCGCCTCGTCTGGCAGAAAGAAGCCCGTAGTTCATGTGCTGCTGCATAGGATTGCCGCTGTGGCTCGAAGAGAAGACAACCAGCCTTGTGCTTTGGATGCTGTAGAAGTGAGCGCCCGCGTGCCATTTCACGCCCAGGTGGTACGGAGCACCGGCTTTCGAGGCATGTAGTTGTTATGCTGCCAAGGGGGACCTGCCACCGAGACGGAGACGGAGACGGAGAGAAGCATCTTGGAGAAGACCGCACATATGAGCATCGCGGCAAGGGTGGAATGGTGGCAAGCACATGGCATCTTGGCCAGGTGTGGTCATGGTCGTGGTCATGATGATGAAGATGTGGAGGGGGATGGGAGACATTACAGCGCAATAGACCATACGGCATCCAGGAACACAGTTTAGGGGACAGTGCGTGGTGTGGTCTTGACAAATGGCACGATGGTCTATGGTGAAACGAAGTAACACCCCCGCTGCAAGTGACAGGGCAGGTGCAGATGCAGTGTAAGTGCAGGTGCAGGTGCAGGTGCAGGTGCAGGTGCAGGTGCAAGGTGCAGGTGCAGGTGCAGCCCCGCGG